AGTTCCAGTTCTTCTTCTCGGGGAACGTAATTAAGATAATGGAGGTTGCTCCCAATTATCCTTTCCCTGGTACCGAAGTCTCGGTAAATGTATCCTGTCCCGGGCGAAATTCTACCGTTGGCGCGAAGCTCCGAATACTCGAGCCGAGTGTCCGACAGGCCCGGGAGCTTTTTCAACGAGATAAACATAAAATGTTGCTCGAGAGTAGCGTCAATGTTTCATCGCCGTCTCGGCTGCGCTCTTCAAGTCTACTTTCCTCTTCCTTTATCTCGGCCTCGAGCCGTTAGAACGGAACGAAAAGAAAGAGCAGAGGCGGGGAAAGCTCCTTCGACCGGAGAGCGTATTGTGCGACTTGAGCTTTCGACGAAGCCGGCCGTCCGCCGGTAGGAAGTCCCTCGTGACGGATAAGTTCACCGACTTCGAACAATAAGGCCTTCCGCTTGCAGCTATCCTTGTTAAGACACAATTATCGAAGGCGGAAGTGCTCCGGGGCCATCGGGATCGATTTTGCGCGTCGCAAGCTCGCAGCTGCCAACGGATGGCGAGGTCTCGAAGTCGATCATCCGATATCCAAGACGATTTCGAAAACGACTTTAAGGCGATACGAAAGGGTCATTCTATATCATAAACGTCAAAATATTAATAAAACCTTTCTCCAAACTGAGTGTGAAACTTCGGCACGTGATTATGAAGGTCCTAAGGAAGAGCGCGATGCTCCTGAAATGACATTAAAAAAAAAAAAATATGTGCCCTTAGTCTGGGATAAAAAAATTAATTTCGTTTAAAAATGAAATTTCGCGAGTTTCAAGACCTTGTTAGGACTGCCACGATCACCGGTTAATGTTTCAAATGATTCGGTATTTTTACGTTATGTATCTATAGAATGACCCTTTGATATTACCTTAAATTGATACCTTTTCTCTTAAATTCCAGGCGTTATTTCGTCGAGAACCCGAATTCCCAAACTCTCCCATTATCAACGTTCTTCCCAGTTCTCTCCTTCCTTGGCGGCGAACGAGTTGGGGAAGATTTGGGTGGAGACCCACGAGCGGTCGCTTTCTGTTTTCTATCGAAAACGCATTTGGGCGAGGGTGTTTTGCATCTTGCATCCTGGTTAACGGGCAGGCGGGGGCGAGTGCACCTCTTCTCTCCACAATGGCGATGGAGCGATTCGGCGTTTCCCTCGCGAGCATGGTACTCGGTTCCCACCAACGTCCCCGAAAATGGTCCAGCCCCCTCGGCGTCTCCGGTTCTGAAAGCAGGGGTTCAAACTTTATAAACACCCCGGAGCAAGACTTCACCTCTCGGCCATTTTGAATCACGGGTTCCCCTCCCTGGCGGTTTATCTCGGCATTTCTCGAGATAAAATACCTACTTTGTCCCGGAAACTCCACTTTGCAGATCCCGGGGCCGATGGCGTCAGGCCAAGGATTCCAAGATGGCGGCGACGGCGCGCCGGAAAAGTGGATCCGCGTTCTTAAACTCGGCCCAAACCGACCCACTTCTTCGGGCGGAGTGCACGCGCCCTCGTAAAAAATTTAACGGGGATCCGAGACAACGGATAGCCATAGAGGGACGCCGCCGTGTGGAGTTTCCCGATAGAACTCACGGATTGCTTGCTGAAACTTTCAGCGATACGGAACGAGGCGCCCGGGCCCCTCCCCGGATATTCCCGGTGCCCGGCTCCGGAGTGCAATAACGAAATAAAAGTCCTCCCGGAGATACGAGAGGAATAATGCATTTCGGCGCGGCGCGTCGATTTCGCCGCCATTGTGGCCCGGCGTAGAGCGGAGCGCGTAATACTCCATTTAAAAAAAAAAAAACTTTCATAATCACGCCTTGAAGTTTCAAATTATTCGGTGCACCCGGTTTTGAGAAAAGTTTTATAAACATCTTCACGTTTCATATTTACGGAATGACCCTTTTATATCACCATAAACGCCCCCGCAAGGTGTGGACTTATCGGGCACGAAATGGAGGAAATCTAGCTCCAATATGGCTTGGACAATGTCGAGAATTCCGGGGCTTTTTTTCTTCTTTTTTTTGGAGATCATGTCGTCTTGGGTGAATGCCCGAGTCGTTTGTGCTTTTAGGAATTGCACGTGTACCTGGCAATCGGGATCGGAGAGGTTAATTGGCCGAGCCGTGTCCTTCGCTCCTCCGCCCCGAGATTGCGCAGACAGAGAGGAAGGTAGGTCTCCGCGTGTTGATTCGTCTCGCCGGCGAGAATGGCTCGAAAAGGTCTGCTTGTGCGTGCGCTGATATCATGGTAGCCCTGTAGGCAAATCCATTGTTCCGGCGGACAGACGGAGTCTGACGGGAGTTCCAGACGCCCAGGAAGGACTATAGCAGACTAGAAAAGACGTGCCAAAAGACCCCATAGCCATAAAAACGCCGAGACAATCGTCGGGCGTCGCTCATCTGTCGCGGATTGGGTTCTGCTTGGGTCCTTTTGTTATCTGCAAGCATCGAATCTGGCCAATAAATGGACGAGCTGGCCCGGTTAGAAAAAAGTCGACGCTTCTCACGGGGAGGGAAAGAGAAAAAGCCCGAGGGATTATTCCCTCGGAAAATCATGGATTTTATTGCTCGACCATGGGAAAAAGACACTTTGCACTTTCGGCAAAGGACATCGTGGTTGATCAAGTTTCGGCAGCCTAGGTGAAGTCCGTTCTCGGGAACACGGGGGAATATGGAGTCGCGAAAGGCGAATCCCCGGATTTGCTCCCCTTCCGAAAATGCCGGATAATCCGGAATTTGCAGCGTGCTGGTTTTCCGGGAGCCGCGATCTCGCATGCGGCGCACGGCCGATCCCGATATTTATAAAATGCCGGTGTTACGGGATAAAGAGCGGAGAGAACGATATCGCTCGGGAATGGCGATACCAGGAGCATAAGTCCCAACGTAGCGGGATGTGAACGAGATCGTTAATCGGAGTGCGGGACAGGTTGATAAAACTGCGTCTTTGGTGCGCGTACCAAATGATCGGGGGAAACTTATCCTCCTCGAGGATGGTTCCTTGATTACTTTCATTTGAATGCCGAGATCTCCAGACCGTCGGGTAATCGAATTAGTCGGCGATTTCACCGGGAGAAATTGAAATCCGCAAAGTTGCGAGCCGCTTTGACGGGGCTTTTCCTATCGGAAGGCTCGGCGGATGTATATCCGAAATTTACATGAGATTGGACCATGTCGATGTAACCAAAAGCGTACGAGTGCCGGCGTATTGTCCGCGTCCGTGTACCACTGGTTCGAGCAGGCCGGAGAAAATTTAAATATCGATTCCGCAGGCCGCACACAATGCACCGCGCCGGAGAAGCTTGATCTACGATTTACTCGTGATCGCATCGGATATTGGCTAGATCGGGCACTGCATACAGATTATTTGGTAAAAGCAAAGGGGCCGACTTTCCGCCTTTTGCGAGGCTAATAGCCCGACCCGGTAACTCGTAAACGGCATTTGTTCCTCGTTTTCAAAAGTGCCGCTACCCTCGATTAGCCCACCGGAACGCCGTAATTGTTAAAATCGCGAGGGAAAACTTATTACCCGCTAATTGCATAAATAAGTTAACTAGGCCTTTCCTCCTTATTTTCTTCGATTAAGCACGAAGAGCGAGCGCGGCACTGACCTACGACCCACACAATTACCCCCCGGTTATAGTCATGCCTGGACAATGACGAACCGACGAACCGAAGGTGAACGTCCTCGAAATATTTCCCTCGGAAGCCACCCATGCAAATTACGTCGGCTAGGAAATCGATTATTCATTTGCCTCCCTTTCTGATTTTTTTCTTCCGCCGGTTTTTAGGGTTTGCATTCGATGCAAGGGAACCAGAGGGTGGACGTCCTGCCCATCTCTGTTCCCCCCACCGCCCGATCGATAAATCGTCACGATTACGAGCGTAATTCTGATGAATTACGTGGTTTGCAGGCCACGTCGCGGAAGGTCATCGGATGCAACCATATGCAACGACGGCGACGCCAATGAGCGTGTGAATTATTTCCCAGGGTGAATGAATCGTATCGTATCGATCCTTCGTGTTGACTCATTTTCCCTCACCCCACGTCAAGTGCGGGCTTATGACCCTTATTACGACGACAATGCAATAGCCGTATTGTCGCTTTTCGCGGTCGAATCGCCCATTGCGGATCACGGCGCATCCCCCTGTGGCAAAATGACTTTCGACTGGCTGCAAATGGGCAGCCCTTAATTGCAACAATTGGACAATTTATGGCAGCCTTCGAAACCTTCCCATACTCTTTCAATGTTATTTTTGCATACAACGCCCAATGCATGTATTTGGCAAAAGTACCTGATTTCATTGTTTCTGTGAGATTAATCGCCACTATATGGACATTAATTTGTAAAGTAGACTTCTCCGATAGGTTGTATTTGGCGCAAGTTTTTTTTTTTCAATTTTTTTTTTATTTTAATGGATAGTAATAATTTTGTTCACGAGAAATGGCCACGGTGGACGATTCGAAACGTATCCGTAACTGTGCCGAGTATTTTGGTGCATTGCTTCCAACAGCTCTTCTAAAAGTTCTTGATGGCGCTGATGAAAAGCAACGAGCACCTGGCCCTTGTAATTAAATCGTAACTGGTACACCCGACCGATGGCCCTCGAAAAGCCCTTGTTCCCATTACACTCGAAATGACGACGCGTTTTGATCGAGTATGACAACCGGACCAAGAATTACGTTTCGTCGAGTGGTCGTCGACTATTTCGCTTGTGGGGAATTAGATTCAAATGTTCCGCTGAAGTGATTTCCCTGACGAATATCATGCGTCAGGGAATGTGCTTTATCAATTTCACGGACATGGGGATGAAATAAAAATCAATTGATAGCATTGTAAAAAATTACTCAGGGAATTCTGAAGTTCTGCAGATGGCGGGATAGAATCTCGGATAGTATAGTATCTAGAGGACTCCGATAATAATTTCAAATAGTATGTCGACAAGTGACTAATTACGTGCTCGCGTAAAAATAGTCCGTCTTTCGCCATCCAAGTTAAGATGTATTTCTCGTATAGGCAACATTTCTTATAAAAAATATAGTACCTAGTAATACGTATCACAGGTAGGAAATAAATGATATAACTTAAGTCTAATCTGTTAAATGTATAAAACACGCGATGTTCCATGAAATGAATAATGAAATGTGTTGTACGCGCTAATCGATCGGCGATGACGAATCTAACGATGTAAAAGGTTTGCGTGAAAATAAAATATATAAATCGGAAATTATTAGTAAACGAAAAATATATTACAAAATCGACTCTACTGTATAATTTTAATAAATTCTAGAGAAATTCTTTGGCGTTCTCTCTCTATGGAAATAACTTTAACTTCGAGCTGTTGACCGATGCTAAGTGTTTGACCTTTCATCATTCTTGTAGGGATAAGTCCACTGTTCCCGACACCTATATCAACGAATGCCCCAAAATGAGTTACATTCCGTACCGTGCCAAACAATGCTGTGCCACTTTTTAAGTCGTCTATACTGGTTAAACTTTTTTTAAACGTGGGAAAGCTATTCTTCAGTCTAATATCGTCATCGAGTTTCATGGTCAGGCCTTGAATGATAAGATCCATGGTTGCTTTGTTGGTCTCAAACATTTTGGCCAGGGCTTCGCTTCCTCTACGCACGCAAGACTTTATCCTCATAATGAAATTCTCAGTGCCAAGGTCTTCGATGTTACATCCACAATATTTTAGAAAATGTTCGGCCACACTGTAGGATTCTGGATGGATACAAGTTTGGTCCAGATAATTGAGTTCTTGAGATGAATTCTTCGACTTCTTGGTCAGTGCAGTCTTCGGCATGATTCTTATAAATCCAACACATTGTTCGAATGATTTATTCCCGATGCCCTTCACATCCGTAAGTTGTTTCCTGTCCGTGAATGGTCCGTGTTGATTTCTCCATTCTATTATTTTTGATGCTCTTCCGACGTTCAGACCAGCAACTCTTTTCAGGAGACAGAGCGATGCTGTGTTGATGTCTACTCCAACAAAGCTCACTGCCTCGGATACTACCTGTGAAGATACAGTGACTGTCATGAAAAATGTTCAATTAAACATCAACTGAAATGCTTTTATCGATATGACACAAACCTCATTTAGTGTTTGAACTAATTGCTTTTCTGGTAAGTCGTGCTGATACATTCCAACACCAAGATGCTTCGGTTCTACTTTGACCAATTCCGCGAGAGGATCTTGCAAACGCCTCGCTATGGAAACTGCTGAAATTAAGTTCGGATCCAAGTTTGGAAATTCAGATTTAGCTTCGTTGCCACAACTGTAAATCGAAGCACCAGCCTCATCGATTATTACATAGGAAACATCCAGTGGTGCGAAGGAATTGGCTTGGATTAAATCGGTCAAGAAAACTTCAGTTTCTCTGCAGGCTGTTGCGTTACCTAAAGCTAACACGGTACACTGATGTTTGCACACTAGTTTGATCAGAATTTTTTCTGCCTCCTGCCTCGTTTGTGAAGAGTGAGAATGAGGATAAATCGTAGCACACTCCAAGACTGTTCCATGCTCCGATACTGCAGCGAGTTTACAACCGTGGCGAAAACCAGGATCTACGCCAAGGACAATTTTTCCTCGAACTGGTGGTACTAAAAGTAGTTGTTTCAGATTTGTTGCAAACACTTCGATTGAGGCTGTTTCCGCTCTTTCACTCAATTCCCTTCTAACTCGACGGGTAATTAAAGGTTTAATCAGACGTTTGTAAGCTTGACCAAAACCTTCTTCCAACAATTGGTGGTGCAGTTGCGATGCTCTCTGGGCATGTTGGAATTGATTCAGACAATGATTTTTAAGTCTTTGCTCAAACCAATCAGGAATATGGATTTTCACAGAAAGAATTTTTTGTGATTCACCTCTATTGATGGCCAAAATTTGATGGGGTTTGATATTCCTCTCCGTTGTCTTGAAATTGAAGTATATATCATATTTTGTTTTATCATCCTTTATCGTCTCATCTTTTTCTTTCTTAGATTTCACAATTTTTGCCTGTTTGGTTTCTATCTGTACATGAGGTGTCTTCTGTAATTCCCGAATCATTTCAAAAACGTACTGATTCTTACTGAGAACATCTGCAAGAATGTTCACGATACCTTCTTTTACCTGTTGGATGTTTTGCAAACCATCTTTATTTACATCGACCAAAGAGGATAAATCTGGCAGATTATCACCCTGTAGAACGGTGGCGCTAACGATACCTAATCCTAATGCTCTTGCCCTTTCCGCTAAAGAACTTTTTGAGGCAGTTTTGTACAAAGAACTAACATGATCTAATTCTTCAATAGACTTAGCTGCTTTAATAAAAGCATGGACTTCCGGCGTCCATTTACCTAACTTATCAATTGTTTTAATAATATTAGCAGCACGGTGTTTTACTAACTTAGCTCGCTCGTAACTTTCTTTCAAAACTCTTAACATTTCTGCTTCCATGCCACCAGTCATATTCTTTCTGTATCTAGCTATGAACGGAATTGTATTCTCATCATTAAATAGTTTAACTACATTGTCTGCTAGATACTCATCGATATTGTGAATTTCACTGAGATATTGGGCTTCCGACCATTCACGACAACTTACATTTTTGAATTTTTCTTCAATTTTAGCGATATTGATTTTCTTTTTTACATTTTTCTCATCTTCTGTGCTTTGATTTAAAACATCCACTTTTACATGATTTTTTTCAGGATATGAAGTATCGCTATTAGGTGGTAACATCTCCTCAAATACTTTCTGTTCCAGTTTTGCATGTGTAGTTGTATATTCTGATTTACATATTTTTTCGCTATCAACATCACTGTCTGCAGAATTCTTTATTCGATCTGGTGACAATTTTAGTTGTTTAGATTTCAATTTGGGTGCATCACCTATGTTCTGCTTTTTCCTTTTAATTCCTTTTGACCTTTTCTTTCCTTCTTTGCTTGATGCTTCTTTGACATCTTCCTTAGCTACTTTCTCTTTTTTTAAACTTGTCGACTCCTTCCTTGTATATTCCGAGGTACATGTTTCTTCGTTATCGACATCACTGTCTACAGAATTTTTTACACGATCTGGTGACAATTTCAGTTGTTTAGATTTCAATTTGGGTACATCACCTGTATCCTGCTTTTTTCTTTTAATTCCTTTAGAACTTTTCTTTCCTACTTTACTCGAAGCTTCTTCGACGTCTTCCTTAGATACTTTCTCTTTTTTTAAATTCGTTGATTTCTTCACTTTATGGTTTTCATATGAAAGTTTCGTTTCCTCATGATCAGAGTCGCTCAAGACAATCACAGAATTTGCCTCGTTCTCCGAATCCGTTTCAATTATTACAAGTTTTGGCCGCTTCCTCAACTTTCTTTCCATTTCAAGCTATATATTCTACACATATATATTCTGAAGTTTTATTGATGAATTTAGACTGAATTCATCGGTCTTATTACAGTATAATATCTTATCGGAGACATTTAAAACTTAAAAAATGCACTAGCTGTTTGGTCTTATCTTGACCTAAGACTGAAACAAAATAAGTAAAAAATGACATAATATTAATGTTAATCAGCTTACTTGCATGGACACGTCGTTATCTTAAAAATAATATTTACATGTTGCTTTCATGTTTGCATTATATGACGAAGTGAGGATAAACATCAATATAAATATAGAAGGTCCAAATGCCCAGGTTGGTTATTAGCTACAATGTCACAAATAACAGGGAATATCAAAGAGGGCTCACTGAGTGTGCCATCACGAATTTGAAAATCACTCGATACGGTATTCCGTGAACTGTATCCACATACATTTTTTCACCGCGGATTTAGAAGAGTCGATGAGATCTCGAACCGAGTTCTTTCAGTTTAGAGATTTCACATTTTCACTCGGTGGACATAGAATCAGGTAAATAAATTCTCGTGATATGACAGTGCGAGAAATGAGCACTCTCACAAAGAATACAGAATCCACCCCCTAGTGTCAAAATAAATCTAAAGTTGACCCGCCTGCATATTAGCGCTCAGCGGCCTGCAGGCCGCAGTCATTCGACTTTGTTTTTGAGTGGTGATTTGACAGTGGCCTCGATGCTGATGAAAATTCACTGAAATATGGAAGACAGGCCACTCCAGCATCAACCGACGGAAAATACAGGTCCGTATACGTCAGCGTTGCATGGAAAAAATGTTGATTAAATTACTGATAAAATCTACTTTCTTACAGAAGTCAATCAGGATGAGCTGATACTCCAACAACAAAGACGTATTGAAAAAGAGGTTATTACTTTCACTCTCTCGTGATATTAAAGCTCCCCTGTCAATAATTTGGATACTTTAATGTTTTTCACATTTGTAATAGTAATATATATCAATAAACCATGTTTGACCGTTGAATGTACTCTGTTAATATTGTCATTTTGATGTTTCAGATATCTGAGTCGATAGCATTTGTTGGGGAGAAGGAATCATTAAAGAGTCTGGAGCGTGAATACGCCGAGGATGAAGTCTACCTGTCTAAGGCAAAGGCTTTAGGACAAAAGTATTCTTATTTTCGAAGAACTAGGCCTGACGGTAACTGCTTCTTTAGAGCATTTAGCTACGCTTACCTTGAAAGACTGATTGATAATAAAGAAGAATATGAAAAGTTCAGAGAACTTGCGCTCAAGAGCAAGGATAATCTCGTGGCTCTAGGATTTCCTCAATTTACAGTGGAAGACTTCCATGATACGGTATGATATTCAAAGATAATGTATTTTTAGAACGATTTATATATTTCTTTTGAATAAAATTCTGAAGTGGACTTAACTGTAAAAATTATTAATTTTTTATAATTCCAGTTTATGGAAGTAATCGATAAAGTAGGTGGGGAGCCAGAATCGAGTCGACTTGAATTACATAAGCTATTTAATGAGCAAGGCTACTCGGACTACGTCGTTGTATACCTAAGACTAATAACTTCTGGTCAATTGCAACGCGAAGCTGATTTTTATCAGCATTTCATAGAGGGAGATCGAACTGTCACAGAGTTCTGCCATCAGGTTTGTTTTAAACCTTAAATTGTTAACCACTCTTTGGTTTTAGTGCTTCAATCTCAGGATAATTAATATTACTGGAGTTTTTTATTTCCCTTTGTAGGAAGTAGAACCAATGTTTAAAGAATCTGATCACATCCACATTATCGCGATGAGTACTGCACTAGGAACAGGGGTTCGCGTACGTTATATGGACCGAGGTGCAGGTACTGAAGTGACAGCACATGATTTCCCCGAAGGAGCAACACCAGCCGTCCACTTACTTTATCGTCCTGGTCATTATGACATTCTTTACCCCTGATGTCCTGTACAATCCTTAATCCACCCCGACAGTTGTAACTTTTTTAGACAAATTCTTTACGTTGAAACTTTTGGATCTTACACAAATCAAGTTTAGGATGTAGCAGTATGTAATGTGGGAAAGGAATCAAGGGATTGGTTTACAAAAGGTATCAAAAGAACAGTCTTGACTTTAACATAAATTTTGAGATATCTCTAACGATAAGATAAAAATCCTCAATTCTTTTTCATATAAATCTGCTTAATTACGGTGTGCTAATTAAAGAAAAAACATTTGCACGAATGGCCGATATGTGTTATTAATTTTATATAAGAATTTAGTGGGTTATGCAAAGCTGTGACCCACAACAAAAATTACAACTTAGTTGGTTTATAATATTTTCTCGTTAGAATACGAATATTTCTACAAGCCTACCAAATTACTACATTTACGCAAATTTATTATACATTATTAGCTTGATCGCTTCATTTAAATCACGTAAAGTTTCCACCCGAAATGGTGCATTTTTCATTGGTAAAGGCATGTTGCTTTGAATGTCTCTCACCGATTATGTCTAAGTATATTACTTAAATTTCTAAGTATGGAAAGCTCATATCAGAAGTCACCCTTAATGTTACTGAAAGTACAATTGTTCATCGCTACGATGAAATTTTAACTGACCGTTTCATATTTAATTCCTTTGCTTGAAATGAAGATGACAAATCTTTATAACACCGATACTTAGTGGTTTGTTCTGTAATCTAATCTCAGAAAATCTGTTTTGATTCTTTCTCAGGAAATATTGAATTTATTAGCATGTTGTATTGTGTAATTAGTTTGTTAAAGAAAATAATGTATTCTTTAACATGCAACATACAAAAATTGATTAGTACATGAAGCTCGTTACTTGAAGTGTGTTAATGTCATTTCTACACCTCCTTTGTTTTAGTTTTTATGATTTAATTAAAACACTTCTAAACTTTAAATAAGATTTAACAAATAATAAAATTCCGCATTATTCAACGGATGAAATACAAATTTAAACAAATATAAGAGGGAGAAATGATAATAATTAATAATTGGCATTAGATCTATTTCTGGTTACTTTAAATATCCTAATACATTATGCACGTATAAATGCAATTATCACCGTTTTATTCTATGTATGTAAAGAGAAAAACCATCTTCCATCGTTTTATATTGAATAAAAAAAATATTTAAAGAACCTCTGCTGCATCTGAATAACATATAACACATTGCTCCTATAGTTTATTGCTATTACATGTGAAAAAGTATGAAAATGTTAGAGTACATTATTATCCACATATAAGGGGAATCGTGTATTTTATACATATTCATTGCATTCAGCCATACTTTACATATTCAATGTTACGCATAAATACTTTCATACTTAATTTTACTGCTTCATAAAAGTTTAATTTTAAGCAAAGTATATTAAATTAAATGCTTACGATTTTATTGAATTGCAGTTGCCCAGGGTGGTGTCATAGGTTGTGGATTTTGCAGGTATGACATTACAACGGCCGATATAGATAACATAAAACTGCTTAATATCTGTTTGGTATCGTCGCTCACTCGCGAATTGGCAAAACTAATACATGAACAGTAAAGAGCGACCCAAGCACACCATTTAAGCCGCATCATTAATCCACACATACTAAATATCATTCCCAAAATATTCATATAGTCCGGAGTTAAGTCATCCCCTGGTTGAGCTTGACTGCTGGACACGGAAGGCTTGTAACGAACTTCTCGTTCCCTATGACGTGGATCGGTTGAACTGTTCATTCTAAAAATTAAGAAACTCGAATAAAAATTGAGGTATTAACGTTTAAACCGTTTGAATTTTGCGAACGTCGTCAGTTAACCTATAGACCCTGCAAATTCAATTCGACAATTAAATATCCAGCGAACTTATAAGAAACTTACGTGTTTTCTTAATAAATACAAACGTTTGCGACGATTCGTGGGCAGTAATTGTGATAAATCACACACGGCACGTACGTTTGAGCTAATTTAAACAAAGGTTTATATCTTCAGACGTGCGTTCTCATCTTTATCCATGAACGATGCATATTTTATGAACATAAATCTATTCTACACCATTGAAGAGTCTAGTAATTTTTTTCATGCAAACATCGACGCGATTACAAAGCCTCGTGATTGGTGAACCGATTTCTGTTTCAGCCAGTTTCAGCAAACCTAACCTTTCTACAGAGATGAGTTGGGAGATTACTCACGGGCTGGGTCGTGCGGTTGCGTTTTGTGCTGCCCTCGGTGGAGAATGCAGCCAACTGATACCTCTTAGTGACCGCTCAACTCAGAGAACTGAGGTAGTTGAGAGACCGCTAGATCGTACTCGATCGATATCGTACTTCTAAATCCGGGATTTGTCAAGTCCGGACCCATTAAATCCGAAATTACTGATATATGTAATAATTTAAAGAGAAACTACCGAGGGTGATAATTTTATTTGGGGAAGGACAAGTGACCAGTCAATTCAACGAGCGCATGTCTGTACATACCTCATTTTCTATAACCAGGTCCGAACGGTGGCGACATCTAGAGATTATTTCCGAGAGACTTCGCGGCCATGACAGCTTATGTCTTTTCCAGCACTTGACGTTTAGGTGGAACATGACATTTTGCAGATTTAATTTTTTTGACAAATGGCAGACTCTTTTTTCGGATTTGATACGTCTCTCGAAGTAAGTAAATTCCAATTTTCTACCATCATGAAAATTCGGCTCGCCTTATCAAGCCTGTGGAGAAGGTCCGACGAAATATTTGGATGTAATCTTGTTCGACAAACAACCGCGTCGCGGAACAACATGGATGGGATGTTTAATTTTTTATTTGGAGAGTTTTATTTGGTTTCGTTTATTTCTGAGGTCCACGCTTTATTTTTCAAATGCTAGGGTTTATCCAATGTAAGCTCAACTCATGTTCCCCGGTTTAAGTTTTCTAAATACTCCGTTATGTGGTCGGTTCTCATCGTGTACCCAAATACTTTCGCCGAGGAAAGTACTAGACATAACCTAACTTTCCCGTTTCCCCCGCCCTGGAAAGGTCAATAACATTGACTCTGTTGTAATGCCAATATTAATAAATAACTCTTATTTTCTATTGAATTGATCAATTTCGATATTAAATACAGTTGAATTGCTGCGTTTATATTCTACCGTGTCCTACTTTATAGGTGGAAAGGGTCAATGCCACCTTGTACTTCTATGTATATTGTATATATACGAAAATCTTAATGCTTCCTCTATCAATCTTTAAGTTTCTGTATCAATTACGGCACCTTATTGGGGTTATAATTTTCGATATTCTTCTTAAATTAAATTTGACCCATATTGATGTAAATGCTATTCTGGCTTTTTAAATATTATGAATGTAGAAAATGACTATTTTAATTAGTGTTTACCGAAATACTAGGGTGGCGGCTTAGAAGATGGAATAGATGGTCCATTGGAAGATGATGATTTTGGAGAAGAGGAAGAATACGATGCTTTAAATGATGAGACTTTCGGTTCAGAAGCTACAATTGGGGATTGGGAACAAGACCATGAAAAGTTAGCTCAAATTACAGAATCAACTCGTCCACAGGTTCAGAACACATCCAACAATAAGGTACGTTGTGTTTTAGCATTAATCATATTTTATTAACTAGCGTGTGACGTTTGTATGACTGATTTTTGGAATAAAATTATGTTCATTTTAGAATGGAAATGTGGACGTTGGGGAGAATTTGTCACATTTGGTATTGGATGATAAGGAAGGGACTGTACCACGTCCTGGCGTATGGGACAGCCCCATTAATCTTCCATTACCACAAACTCAAGCACCACCACCATTACCAACTTTGAAAAAAGTATGCACGGTTGAAGAATTAGAACGTGGTCTGATCGCCAACAGACCTCCACCTGGACTTACCAAACCATCGCAGTCTCAGCAACAACCTGGGGGATCATTTCTTTTTGATTCATTGCCTTTGAATGAACAGCTTCCAGTTAACGGGGTTCCTCCACATCGGTTTCCTCATGGTTTAATGTTACCTGGACCACATTCTGTCGTTCTACCTCCTAATGTAAGAGTACCCCACTCGCAATTCATTCAGAACTCAAGACTCATGAAACGTGAGTACTTTCAAATTAATTAGTACTACTTCAAATTGCAACATTAATAAATATTATTTATTAATTCAAGTTGGAAATGTGATAAGATATCCCGTAATTCCACAATTAATGATGCTACATGGCGTTCAAAGACCACCACCTGGTACCTTCTGTGGCAATTTTCCCGTATGTTTTTTTTCATTGTAATTGTCATATATATGACATGACTGATTAGAAGTAGAATGATTACCGTTTCTTTTACATTTTTACAGCAACCACCTCATCCTATTTTGGAGCCGTCGCAATTTTTGCGCCCTGATCATCCAATAATTCCTCCATTTTCCAGTAATCAAATGAATCATCAACAGCAACAGCATTCTGTATCTCACTCTGGAAATCAGCGAAATCAAGATCGACCATTTCATTCTAATGACCAACAAGGAAATCATCAATTATTTTATAAGAATAAACAATATCCTCACCATAACTACAATAGAAATAATCAGAGATATCATCATATGCAATATAATATTCATGGAATGAATGGGATTGGTGGCACAGGAGAGTACGATGAATATGCTGGGCTCATGAGTAGTCGTGAGAAACAGTGGTTAATCAATATTCAACTAATGCAGTTAAACACGAATCAACCGTACATTGATGACTATTATTATACGGTATTTTGTGATAGACAAAATAAACAACATGAAAATCAGGACAACAGAGATAGGAGAATTCACAATAATAATGGATTTCATAGAGATTCCAGGTAAATTAACATTTTCTTTATGGTAATGTTCGATCAAAGTATGATATATAACCAAATTGATAATGTTCTCAGGGAACGGGAACAGCCACATGTTCTCACCAAAGTAGTGTACACACCGATGCAATTTGAAAATTCTTTGGGAAAACTTCAATGTGGCAGTGTTACAGCTCCTCGCAAGATAATCGACATGGATGTCGTTTCTAACAATGACTCTCAGCAAGTGCCTCCACAACAACAAAAGGACACTAAAAAGACTCGTCAATTGTTGCTAGAGACCGAAAGGGTATTTCTTTTTATTTACTGCCTTATAAGTTATCAGTGTTAAAGCAAAGAGAAAGTTAACAAAAAAGTATCACGTTTTGCAGTTATATACGATACAATTAAAACTTGAAGATACGAACAATCCTCTTGCATTGCTAGCGGAGCAGCAGCAACATCAAAAAGAGGGAGAGTCCGAAGCGAAAGCGATAAAGAAGACAAAACCTGAACTTTGTAGCATGATTTTAGCTTCGTTGCTACAGTTACTCAAAGATGACAAGCTGGCCAGTATGCTAAGTATCCGGAAAGGAAAAGTAAACGTCTTTAACAATTCCAATTTTTAACGTTGCCAGTATACCTCTTGTGTATCCATCTGATAATTCGGATTTATTACAGACGTTGTTACTTCGATTTTTACCACACTTGAGTGTTACGGAATACGGAAATCAGTTAGGAGAGCTTTGGACTGGAATTTTACGCGGATTGGCGGTAATAGGCCGTAGAGATGGTCATCTTTTATCAAACCTATATCCAGAATTCCAAAGGTGGATTCAAACCGTCACAGATTTCTCTGTACTTCTACGCATGGGGAAAGCTTTATCGGAATCTTCCAATCAGCCTGCTAAAAACAACAGTTTAGCTTTTGCTCTCGTCAACAAGGTTAGCCAATTGATTAAATAAACTCAGAGAAATGTTAACTTAACCTCGCCAGGAATATTCTTTCTTGTGTCGATGTAATGAAAAAATAATGTGAAACTAAATATACTGAAATTAAGATTAGACGATTCGTTAATTAACATTCTTTGTTTATTTTAGTTTGGCGTATCCGTAATAGCATCAGTTTTAGAACAAGCCGAGGCACTGTTTCCTGTCGAAGAGTCTCTAGCATGCGAATGGTCATCTTTTATGGTAACACTCGTCGAAACCGTCGGTGCTACACCACCTAGTGTCGCACCTTGCCAGCCGATTGCTGCAAATACGCTCAATCAGCATTTGAATCGGATCCATACGCTAAAGATTGAAAGGTATGCTCCGCTAGAGCTTTTGTTAACTGACGCGAATCCTTCACGATAGTCTGAAATGATTAAGCCATGTAATTTTTCATTAAGTTTATTTTAAACACTGTGTGATAGGGCAGTGGAAACAAAAAGCAGCAAACTATAAATTTACAGATACTTTAAGTGCCCATATGGTATCCGCTACCCGTAATTGTGGTACTAACAAGTGTGCTGGATACCAATGTTTTGCAATGTAGATCAACGTTTAGCAAAGACGTGGAGATGTAAAAGAATAATGTATTCAATTTACCGTAGGTACACGTAATGCCAACAAATAAATTTGTTATTCGGGGAGGTAGAGAAAAGATGTGTGTGAGAGAGAGAAGAAAAGTGCGAAAGAGAGAGAGAGAGGGTTCATGCCCTGCTGTACACTAATTGTTAGTACGCTATAGAGTAATTATATTTCTAAAAACGGTGCAGTTCTAATCTTGTTGATCTATTATGGCAAAAAGTACATACAAAGAAGGATTCTGAAATGCAAGATGATTGCAAATCTGTGATCAAATGCAATGCCAAATTTTAATCTGTGATCAGGGATAATATGTAGAAGAAATCTAGGATGAGTGAAGAATGAATTTACCAGGAAGAACTAATGATTCTCACTTTAATAGTGCTTATCTCCGAGAAGAAATTCATACGAAATTCATTTTTTATTTCAATTCGTTATGTAATGCTACGTTGTTAATGTATAGAACATGTTATCACTAGCTTTCATTGTCACTTCCTTTTTTTTTTTAATCCGTATCTTTTAGAATTTTCATTTTTTTCTGCACACTGCTAAAGTGAGATTCGTCGTTCGGTGTCTTTTGATGATGACTGGTTATTCACTCTGTTCTACAATCACTTCATAATTAAAGAATCCAGTTTTTCAATTCAGATTGTAAATGTACTCGATCGATTTAGGCATAGTTGGCATAATGCATGAGTTCTGATCCTACCATGTAAAACTGGTATCTAGCATTCTGAACTGCAACATCCTTTTTTCCTCTTCATCCAATTCCTGATTGATTTTTATTGTACAAACCGTAGATTGTGTACGAATGAGGTTTAACTGCAACAAAACGATATAAGGTGATCATTCGTGTATACATTTTCATCTTTGATAATATAAAAGAATTTCTTGAAGTACACCCAGGCTTTAAGACTTTCTTCCCTTACGTATTATCTCCTGCACTGTAAAAACGAGTTATCCTTGAATGCTGCAGTCTTTTAAGGCAAATTAATTTTTATTGTCCTTATAGGTTATATATATATACATATTTACAGATTTTGTCAAATTTAATGATAAACTGCCTAGACTATACATTACAGTGAGGGAAATTGTATATGATCCGAACTAAATAGGGTGTAATTACCAAAGTCCTCTGCCTAAAATTATAGATGGCCAGGTCAGGTGCACGTACATTAATGAGGATAACTTTGTAATAATTGAACCTAATACAACCACACAAGACATATGCCAAGAGTAGGTATTTGTCTAAATAGAAACATTAAACCATGGGTCATTTGATGTGGAATGCATTGTTGTTACAAAATTATATATATGTATAAGTACTTTACGTTGAATCATGCTTAATTACAATTTATTGCCTCATATTTTTAGCTTTGTAAATAGCACAATAACCAGGGGAGAGGAATTTACATATTTTGTAATTATAGGTAAAACCACAATTGCAGTTTGCTTTGACCTTACATATAAATACACTCTTGCACGAAAAGTATTATAAAGAAAAAAATATATAAAATAATTTACCTTGCTATTTTTAAATTTTATTAAAATCATTAAATTAGTATATACTATATACCTAATTATGTATATCCTGAATTTGGAGAGGACAATGGAAGAAGATAATTTTTTACCTGCCAGTTATAATTAACGAGTTTATACAAGAACCGTGTTTTGTCAGCCTGATATAATCAATATACGATATTAAGCAACTCAATTGTAGATAACTATTATAAATCAACCATATCTTGTTAGCACCTCTTAGTATTTTTCACGTTCTTCGATAGTTACTGTAAGTATGTTCTTTTCATTAAAACCTTGCATGTTTAATTTATGAAGTAGGTAATTAAATAAGGGAACCTAAATTACCATACAACAGTTGTACAAGTAATAAGGAGAGAAGTAACAATAACAATGCAGTGATCAAGTATAACGTATACAATGGTGGAAATTCTAACTAGATGCATAGCTTATACTGTACAGTACACGTTTGTATTCACCTTCGTGTTAAATAAAACAATTAATTGAACTACGTCGTTCACCACAGATTTCTATGTACGATCTTAAGTAAGAGCAGAAAGGCAATTTTCATTTTTGGTCAAACTTACATGAAAAAGGTGAACACGAACTTAAACTTTTAACATAGAATATAAGATGTATTCTTGTAGTGTAATAGCTGTTTGCGAAGCAATGACGTGCTTCAAAAGTTTCTAACATTTCTACCACTTTGCAGCCGAGAATTTTGAAGGGATTTGTCGTTGTTTGGTGTAGAATAATCGCGATGATGTATTTCGGTTAAATGACTGTATAGCTTAGGTAATAGAGAATGCGCTCAGAGAAAACGTTTCATAATGGCATCCGCTTTCTACGTCGTTGATTGCGTGACGTTTTTTAATAGGATCTTTGTCATTTTATAAGAATACCGTTATATACAGATGTAGACTTCTTTGCCTTGTTATAAGACATGCGTAGGAAGTACTCGACGATATTTTTCTCCACTCACTCCCGTACGTTAGTGACAATGTTTATGGATTTTATCCAAAGTTTTGCATCGTCCAGTTTATATTTTCACTTTTTAAGATAAGTTATTAATTAAGGCTGCACGTACACATTTGATATTTTACTCTATAGCCGGTAAACGACAAGCAAATGTGTACGTAAAATGTGGCGGAGATATCATACACTATGTGTCGAAATGACAGAATTCAACATATTCAGTTTCCAATTCAGGTTAAATTAGAAATATATTTTTATAGAGATACTACTCGTATTGTCTTTAAATGCGGCAGATATAATACAGGAGCATGTCGGGGGCAGTATCGATAAATCAAAGATCTGAATCGAAATTAAAAGACTACACTTACTGTACATTATTTAGACTTACAAAAAAAAAAAAAAACAATCAATTCAGGTCAAAAGATGATTGTAAAATTACGCTTCCGACAGGGAGCGACTGTAGCTTGTGTGTAGAATTGACCTAATTTGGATTCGACCGTATAAATAAATGTTTTGCATCTGATAAAATCATGTTTTACATTTTTGAATGTTATATGCGGTGGTTTAAGGAAAGCACGTGGTGAAGTGGCGGTAAAGTAGAGATGGTGGGGGCAGGCACGTGATTAGCGAAAGGTTGTTGCACGCTATCAACAGATGGCGCGGAGATCGGGCGGAGCGGCGCGTTCACGTGTTGCGTCGTGTGACATGGATGCCATAACGGGTGTAACGGGCATTTTCAAGTTGTGCACAGTGTTATCCGAATCCTACGATTTTTTTCTAAATGTTTCTCCGGTTGTTAGCGCCACAAAATCGAACTGGTAGTCGCGTGGAACGATTTGGCGAGTCTGAGAGGTAATCCGAACACGGGCAGTGCACGAAGTGAGTGACACTCTTTGTCGCGATTTAGTAAGGTTATACGTTTCGAGTCGGCCCGTTGTTTGGCGAATCGTGAATTATTTATTCTTTCGCCCGAAGTTGTGGCCCGGTGCCTTATGAAGTGTTCCTCATAATTTTTTGGACATTGCGCAATTTTGTGGGACGGGAGAGGCTGCAGTAAATGTGAAAATTGGACGCCAACGACGTTTCGAATATTTGTACTCTGCCCAGGTAATGCGAAGGCATTCGCGGATTATGTACCTTTGTTGTGTTTAACAGGCCTTTCTTTCCTCGTTTGACCTTTCAGAGAGATTCAGTTCATTGGTCTCTTTTATTTAACCGGGAGTCATGTATCTCTTCATTGTATATTGTATCGTAACAGTTTTGCAATATGTTTTTGCAAACGCGTTCTGGGGGTTAGGTTAAGTTGAGACTCGACATTTTATTGTTTGATTTGTTTCTATATTTGGATTTTTATCACTATTATCATGCACCGTATTTTGTCATATATTCTTGAAGATGTGTTATTGTTAAGAGATCAGGAATTTTTAAGTGATTTTTGTAATAATGGGTTCACAAAGTTATAACGGGACGTCAGGTAACACACTTTATTAATTTATTTTATAGATAATAAACTGACATATTTGCAGAGATTGCATATTTTTAGTTATCATGAATTGAGCGGCCCAATATTTTGTTTGGACACAGTGAAGGTATTTCAGTGCGAAGCAACAAGTAGCGTAAATATCACCTGTTAGATTTTGTCTAAATTTAGAATCGGCTTATAATCAAAACTATCCAGTCGGTAGTGGTTTTCTATACATAGCTGCATACCGCTGGCTGCTCATAATACCGTAATTTCTGCTCGAAGGAGATTACAGGATTAATCGTTCTAGTTACGAAATCAAGGTAACGTGTTTATAAAAAAATCTCATCGTTTCATTTCAGGACAAGGAAATGTATTTTCAAGGATAACGACACGTTACTCGGAATATGTCCAACAGGAGGGATAAAATGTCTGCTGGTTTTGTGAGTACAGAAATTCCACTCCGATAGAACTATGAATCTGAATCGAAGTCTGCAACTTTTTTAAAATTACCGTACCGAGTACACGATAACCATTTTATTAGGAACATCTTTCAGCTTTTGTCGAATTCAAAATGGCTTGAGACAAAACACGAGTTACTAAGTATTATCGAATGCTAGTTATGTACAGGTTTCAGGTACAACCAGTGTCGTAACGCCTTTAATGGAAATCTGTTAATAGTACTAGATTACGGAATGTCGAGGTTTGCACAAGAGCTCGCTAAAGCTTGGAAGGAAAAGCTCCGTTACATTTTTGTCACGGTTTACGGAAACAGCGGCTGGAAATGCTCATATGCCCTCGCCGTGAAACCGGAACAGGAATACTGGTCAGATTGGCCATCCACTTAGATAAGGTAGCTTCGGCGAGCTCGTGCGTACGCAGTGATAATGCAGTCACTTGAGACAAGTGTTTAAAACGTGCCGTCCATAATTTCGAGCACGATCTATGCGTTATTTTCTTTTTTTTTCTTTTTAATGACATTACGTGTTTGCCCTGATGAATCGAACTGCAACGTTTGCGCAACGTCGGCTTCCTGGCGACAATGAACGTGGGTCATTCTTGAAAGCCGTAACAAATTTAAGGAAAAATTTATGCGATTTTGACTGGGGTCCGGTATGGTGTGGGAACGGTTCATTAATTATCCGTCATAAAATGTAACTTTTCGCCGGCAAAAGTATTAGGACCGCGCAAAGGCGAATCCTGGCGAAACCCGAATCATCGGCTCGTGTCAAAGTTGCTTTAAATTGTCGCAAGCTAGCCGATAGAGCGAGCAACGTTTCCATTCCAATAAGCGGATTAAGGACAGGAAGGGGCCCACCTCGAAGAAGGTGGTCTAACGGTTAAAGTCAACTCTTCGTGGCCGCTTCCTGGATCCTGCTCACGGTCCAGTTTACACCCCGTTGATCCTTGATTTTCCCTTGGACGTCGGTGTAAGCCTTTCGAATCGTTTCTCCGATCTGGGAAAATTGGTAGACCTGGAATTTATCAACGACTCCGAGGTAGTCGCGACCCGATGAACACGTTGCCCAATCCCCACCTCGAAACGGCCACTTATCATTGTCGCAAGAGAGCCGAGCAGGTAATTGCACCAGTGACAATAAATTATCATCGTATTTCCTAGTGATACGGTTGCGTGCTTGCCGGTCATAAACCTCGGGAGGAACGTCGGAAGCTTCCCGGCTCGGATTCGTACAAACAAAGTCTTGAGGTAACAACGCGTACCGTTAATCACCCCAGAATCGCTGCCAGACTTGGTATTCGTTTTTTTTCATCCGAATTTCCAACTTACTTCCACGTGGTTTTCGAGTATTTAAATCCATGATTTATGTGCGAATACCCCCTCGGTTTCTCAATAACGGTCGACTGTGGAGGGCCAAGTCATCTAATTGCCGATAAAGACCAAAGGCTCCGCTCGCTATCGGATCGGGGCAAAGAGGACTTCGCTATCGAGGCAATTAATGCGTACTCGCTGACGCGAAGTTTAGAAAAGTCAGCCCTCGTAACCCCGTTGGCTGGAATCATCGTTTAATTGAATCTATGATCCAGATCCAATGTAGGACAATAATGGCGCAGCCCCGAGACTGCGCATCGCATTAGCATATCCCATATCGGCGTATTCTTCTATTCGTGGAGATTATCAGCTAAATTCGACGTGACTTATCAGTTGCGCGAACGTAGGCTTTATCGAAAAGTCGATTCGGACCTCGGTCGTTCTTCTGGCACCGGAGCCGAATATTGTGAATGGGGAATCGGCCTATCGACTCGGGGCTGGATTGAAAAATTAATAAATAGCTCGTTTTAATGGAGGGAAACTTAGAGGACCTGGGGAGAATCAACGATAAGAAGGGCTACGTAAGTGTACTGGGTTTTCGGTAGAAGCGCTTCTTCCGTTGTTTTCATGATTTTTTTTTCTTTTTTTTTTATCTCCAAATCATACACGTACGTGGAGGGGTTTAAGGTGATACGAAAGCATCGTTATATATCTCAAAATATTTATGAAACTTTTCGACGAACTGCGTGCACCGAATCATCTGAAATTGTAATCGTTATTATGAAGAGGTCCTAAATGAGATCTTGAAACTGGCGAAATTTGATTGTTCGAAAAAAAAGAAAAAAATTTATTGGGACCTCTATAGTCACGTGTTAAAGTTTCAAATGATTCGGTGCACCGTCTGGGGAAAAGATTTATAAATATTTTCACGTTTTGTATGTACGTATGAAATGTGTAAAACCTCACCTGTACCCGTATGACTCGATCGACTCGGTGCACCTCTCTCGTCCACGCAGGTAAAATGGAGGCGGTATCTCGGGGCTAGCTCAAGTGCGTACGGCTGCATTTGAAACGCGATCCATTTTCCAGTAATTTACACTCCAGTGTCATCACCGCGGCAGTGCGCGGTACGTTTGCGAGCATTGCGGTGCTGCCGAGTAGTCGCGGGCTGACGGTTTTTCCCGATTTTCCTGGGGTGGACTCGAGCAGGGAAAGGACCTTCGGCGGAAGGGGACACCGTCCTGTTATCGCGGGGCCTCGTAGGGCGGTGATAAGACGGGTTCGGGGTTAGATCGGGCCCTCGTGGACCGGGATCGCCTGGCCGATCGGAGGTACCTCGCGATCTTTTATTTATTCCTCCTTATCGGGGCCCAGGAGAGTGAGCGCGCTAACGCGATAAGGAGGCACGCAATCACTTACCGTCCGTGACTCACGAGAGAGGTATACAAGGTTGCTACGAGGCGAAGACGTTTCTTCGCCATTTTGGCACCGGTTGCCGATTCGGTAATAACGCGCGCTACTTTCGGCCATCCTTTTTTTTTTTCTATTTCTTACAGGTGTATAGGAGATGCGGAAGTGCTTAAAAGTTCGCCTAGAATTTTCTCGGTAAGCGGGCCCCCAAGAATGGAAGGTGCGTGAATTTTCTCAGTGTCCCTTCTTCTGGGATGAAACGCGCGTGTAAATATCGTGTCGGTCGGGGGAGCGTTTTTTGACACGCGGAAGCAATCGACTAGGACGTCCCGAAAGGATCGGTCGATATGTCGAGCGATATTAAGCGGAGGAAAAGTTGGTATCAGAGAGCCGAGTCCGGAATCAAGGTAAGGCTCCGATATTGTCGGCACGATTGTCGCTTATATTTTGCCGCTTGGACTCGCTCTTCGAGGTCCTTGGGAATTAAGGCGTTACGAAGGTACGAAAATTCAAGGTATTTATCAAACTTTTCCCCTATGCTTTTTGGTACAGATGACACTTTCGTAACACCTTAATACTGACGTCTTGAGTGGTAGCGAGGAAGTTCGTTCGACGGTAGTTTGGTGGCATGAGATGTGCTTTAGGTCGTTCCCCCAGAAATTCGCTGGACTTGCACGATCTTATCGGCGTATCACTCGAACTCTGCATTTTATAAAATAATTTTTTTTTCTTTTTTTTTAAGTGGCTTATCACTGGTAACACCCGCGGGCCTTTTTAGTACGAACGGCACAGCTTGCAATCGCACGGGCTTCGGCACGTAGATATTTTTCCGTCGACCAGGGGAAGACGCTCGTGGGGTCGGGAGAGAGATCGGAATCGGTCAACGGGTTAATATCGATGACGTCAAATGGAGAAATATTTTGTCACGGTCCCGAACCGGTCTCTCGAGGGTCGTGGCATTCCACGGAGATGAGGCTCCTCCGCGATTCGGATTCGCCGAGAGATTTCCGAGGCCTCCGAGGTGTACCTTGGGGTAACAAGGCTCGCCATAACTTAAAAGGCCCGTAAAAGCTGAAGTATAACGTATTTTGGGAAGGGGAAATGAGCTGGGTGTGCGGGGACAACTTTATGTTATCGGAAAGCCTCCGGGTGGCATCGTTTAAGTGCACGAAAACGATAATAAACCGGCGGAAGTTCATGTGGCTTTTTGTTTCGGTAATTATAAGAGTGTATATTTTTCCCTCTGGGCAGTAGTCGGGGCCAAGTGGAGTTCTCGTTGGATGTGCACCACGTTGAAAAGCAAACGGCCGAAGTGTCCGAACAACTCATCGACTCCTCCGGAGGAGTGATCTCACTTGGCGGTTTCGTAATTCTCATTTTTATTCCCTCGGAGGTGGCAGAGTTATTATCATCTCGGACCTGCCGTTCAACGCGAAGCGAGTCTCGGTGCCTTCGGGCTTTTAGAATTCGGTAGAACAATTTACCATTAATTTCTCTATTATCCTAATTTTCGTACCTTGAGTGTACGTGTCTCGCCTTGGTCAAAGTGACGGGTCGTGATGATTTGAAAATTGATCGTACCTCCTTCACGCAAATAAAGTTTGTCTCTCGACGCGCAATCGCGAATGCTCACCGCGTTGCAGTTTTGACGACCTACCGACGCGTGCTCTTCGGGTATAAATGCTTCATGTCTCAATGACAATCGCATCCTGGATACATACAAACGAGACGTCGATGCTGGTTTTAACTTCTGATTCATTCATTGTTTACTTTCGCGGCGGCCGCCCCACCTGAGATTTCGCAACTCCTGGAACGTGCCAATGAGCGGGAAATCGGTATTTAAAAAGGAAAGGGAAATTATCCCGACGTCATTAGGTGTATCAACGAGCGTTATTCTCACTTCACCTTAAACGTATTCTTGGGGCCTCCAGGGAAAGTCTATCGGAGGATATTCCTATCTAGCTCGGCAAGAGTAAGAAAGTCATCGAGCGAATCTCTCGCGACGGATGACGATCAAATTCCACCCGGAGATCAACCGATGATGACGGCGGCGTAATCGGGCGGACGTTTAGCTCTAAGGAGTAACGACAATTAAGATGGAGCATTGCGCAGCCTTCGGAGCCAATCATCCGCGAGATCGGTCACCGACTTTCTACTCGGAAGGAGCGCCGAGAAGCGAGTCGGGGAATTCGAGAGATCGGCTGGATGAAATCGGGTCATTTTTGGCTTTAAATGTTTTTTCTTTTTTTTTGGGGGGAAAACGCGAGGTGCAAAAAATTGGACCACCTTATCGGTCCCTCTGAGGAAAATCGCGGTGAAATATTCGGACGCATCCAGGCCGGATGCTAGGATAAATTTGCATGAAACCACCGGTTGCTTTTTGTGGTTTTCGGATTAGGCCAGAATTTAGGCAAGCCTGGTCGCTGGAATTCCAATCGTTAGAATAAAATGGTTAACGATAATTAATAATGTTTTTCTTTTCACTGGTGGTGAAGTTTGAAATTATTCGGTGCGCCTGGTTTGGAGGAAAATTTTATCAATATTTCGACCTTTTCGTATGTGTTTGACAGTTTCATGACACCTTAAGGCTCTCGACCGAGCTCCGTTATTACGCGTATTACGGTGCGGGACCTTTAAAGGTAACGGGTTCTCCGAAGGGCCGGTCTTTCCTCGTTAAATGTTTACGGGCAGGATGCAAATTGACGATCTCTTTACGCAGAACTCGGAGGTAGATGACTGGGAGAGATCGACCTTGAAGGAGAGCCGGCCATGGGGGAGAATATCACGGGGAAGAATTACGGAAGCGCCGCGATTAGCGTCGGATCTTTTAAGTCCTGCGCGGATATGCTCGGCGGGAAAGGAGGGAAAAGAGTTTCCTTTCGCAAGGTTCGCTTTATGGTTCACCAGCGACATTAACACCGAAATCGGATCTGGGGTTTATTACTCGGCCGCGTTTGTCCTGCGTATACGTAACCGAGAAACCGGTACGAATCGATCTGCCAGATCTCTGGCAGGTTGTTTAGGCCGATCGCGTAATCCCCTCGTCGCGGGACCCCCGGGGAAAAATTCGGGTCCAATCGGCCGTTTTGACTAAATTTTGGCGATGAGATTAAACGTCGAATCTTGGGGAAAAGTGACTATGGGAATTGTCGCGGCTGCCTCGGGAGAGACGGGATATGTTCCTTTTTGCAGCGCTTTTTGCCACCGCGGGGACACGCGTGACTCACTCGGGGAAAGGTGGGCCGATGATTTTTTACGGGGAACGGCACTGACCAAAGTCTATCTCCATGAGAATCGTTTAAAATGAAATTTAACGGAGGAGTATCTCGGGTTAGGGACGGCCGATCGCCGACCAAGGTCTTCGTCGTGACGTGTGCCGGAACCCGAGAGGAACCTTGAATACGAGTTGCTCTTGATATCTTCGGAAAACATCGTTCTTAGTAATTCAATGTCGATCCTTAATTTCTTTTCATTTTATATTCCATAAATATTCGTGTAATTAGGATTTTTGAGCTCGGCAGAAAAATAAAGCTCCTTTTGGATCGACGTCGTTTTAACTCGTCTTTACGTAGATTTGCGGTCTCTTGTATTTACGGAGGTAGATAATCTCGATCGGAAACTCGGTTTGGCAAAAATCGACAAACCGTTGCTCGCCCACGAGGCAGGCGTGCCCGACGGTGACGTCACCGGTGATGACCTCACCGTTCTTTGTGTCTCACTCGGAGGTTCCCCATCCGCAGGGTGCTTCGGAAAACACCATGGAATACGGAGTTTGCCTGAATCGATCGGGCGTCGCACCGAGGAAAAGAAAAATTGCTCGACTCAATGAGATATGCGACATCGAAATCCTGCGATGAAATACGACCGAAGGAAGATGAAATCGAGTAAGGGACATTATTTGATCGAATCGTACGAAGGTAAAACGGTACCCTATAATAAAAATTTTCTTCGACGGAGTACTTTTTATGAATAAAAATCCGTTGGGTGGAGTCGATGATTTTAATCGCATTTTTAATCAAATGATTTCGATCGGACCAACCCTGGATTTTTACGGGGTCGGATAACCGCGAGGAAACGGCTAGTCCGTCCTTGTCGGCCTTCGTTTATGCGAATTACGCGGCCGAGAATAACCGACTTGCGGGATGCAAAGGGGCATTTAAGAATCGAGCAAAAGTGCCTCCCTAGATTGGAATTTCCTCCCAGTGGAGCAAGGTCGCTCGCTCTCAGGAGCGATGCCTTGCGCCGATATCGGACGATGCGCGGGGCCGCTTACCGGCGCCATCTTTCTTTTTTCCTTATTTCTTTTTCCTTCCTTCTCCGGCGACTTCGCTACAGGATAACGGAACCGCGACTTTGCAACCTCGATACGCGCTCGGATCATTTTTTTAACGTTCCACTTGCATGCTCGTTGGCACACTTCTTACACTTTATCGCGACGACGTCTTGCCTCTCCTTTTGCGACTCCTTCTGCGCCTCCTTTTGCGGGTGCAACGGGCACGGGAACGTGAATCGATGTCGCGTCGTCGAAGTATCGACGTTGGAAAATCGACGGTATGACGGAGGAAGGAAGAACAAGATATATGGAAAATCAAATGACGGTCTGTGACACGAATCGAGGCTTGTCGCGGTAATAAATAATCGATCCTCTTCGACGAGGGTGAAGGAACCTGCTGATTATCTCGAGATCGGTACCGGAGGTTAAAATGACATGAAAGGGTCATTCTGTATACATGTATCAAAACGTCGAAATATGATGTGTTTTCATATTTATTAACACTTTCCTCCGAACTGAGCGCACCGGATAATTTGAAACTTTAACACGCGATTACGGAGGTCCCGATGTGGATCTCGAAACTCACGAGGTTTCATTTTTCGATTAAGAAATTCATTTTGTTCGTCCATGTTCGGGATAAATGACACATTTTTTTTTTTCCCCTCTCGAAACGCTTTGGCACCGATCGAGGATGTTAAAGCTCGATCTCTTCACGGATCGATGTACATACAGGAATTGTGTCGAGGATGCTCGTAACGAGACGGCTTTTTTATCCGTGATCCACGGCCGCGCGAAAACGCCATTACGGGAACGCGAGTACTCCTGCGTAAAATCCCCATAATAAACACGAAATAGTAGAATTCACGTATCGTACGCGTAAAACTAGTAGAATGAGGACGGTGGGTGTAAGAATTAATTATTTATCCATCCAGGATTTTTTTTTCACTATTTTAAATATACATTTATAAGAGACGTTGATTTTGCCCGTTAAGTTTTGAGATGCGAGAGTTTTCACGAGACTCCGGAGGCGTCGTCGAGATAAATTTGTCGGGCCGAATTTATCGTCGTGGAGGGAAAGAAATCGGACGGCGATTCGTTTATACGTGGACATTATTTCTCTGCTCGAACAAACCGGGGGAATGATTTATTATTTGGCTTTCGATGCGAAACCGAGTCGCGGTTTTTGCGAGCGCGAGGTGTCGAATTTAAATTCCACGTGGCGGATTTCCGTGGGACGGTTTTCCATCCCACGGGAGGGGGGGTCATCAAATTTCGCTTGCCGGATCGCGTTGCGCCTCTCTTTTTATTTCTATTTTTTTTACATTGCATACCCCTTCGACGAAGAAACAGATTTCAGGGAAGTATTTCGAGTATTTTTAATCACGAGTCTAGGCGGTATTACTTTACAGTGAGAAAAAAAAAGAGAGTAAATTCAACTCATTTTCCCAGTTAAATATGGCGCACTCAGGAAGCTGGTTCAACTTGGATTTGGAGCACTATGGATTTTTCTCCAAATGTGGTTTTCTCCAAATCTACGTTTAACCAGCTTCCTGAGTTCGCCATATTTAATTCGGAAAATGAGTTGAATTTGCTCTTTTTTTTTTTTTTTTTTCTTCAGTATAGACGTATGTTGGGAAATTTGTCGAAGTCCCTCGCGCCGACTCGCGCTCCTCCTACGCCGAGAGGAGAGTCGGCCGAGAGAGCACGGCTCGGAGCCAGTCTCTGGTGCGCCTTCCTCCGATGCGGAACTGACCTCGCTTACGGGCCAGTTTCCAACGCGGGGCCGTCTTTCTCGGGTTGGCGCAGAACCCGGGAAAACTCGCGAATCCTATGTAATAAGAAAAATCCCCGGAAGACAATCGAGCTCCCCTTCGTGGGGGATTTGACACCTCGTCGACGCCTCGTGGGATACCGGAAATTGAGAGAGATACAACGATTGCTCGAAAGTGCGAGTTTTCTCTCGTTTCAGTCATCCGAAAGCTCGGTACGTGCGACCGCGTTTCCGGGACGTTTTCCAACCTCTCGTCACGTGGAGTCGAGCGACTCGTGTCCGACAAGCGTATCGAATCTAGTCATGAGAAATGTTGATAAGCGGCCTCTTGTAAGGTGCGATAATCTCGATGCTGGGAAAATCGGAACTCGGGGTTTGCTAAATGAAAGCGGGCTGCGGTAACACGGTGCTCGTTAAACGGGTCAAGGAATTGCCTGAATATTCATTCGATTTTCTAGGCAACGAGGGGGAACGATTTAATCCTAGGTGTGCGTGGAGAGGTACGGTTAACATTTCACGCGAAAAGAATTTCGGCCTTAAGGGGATATGAAGGTGTAATATGTATAACGACTCTTTCATATCACCTTAATCGAGCCGCAGACCCGGAGGAAAACTCCTCGTCGTATTGGGAACCAAGATTGCGCCCATATTTCGTTTATTACAGAGAGAGAGAGAGAAAGAGAAGACGAGAGTTTATCGCGCGTAAGTCACTGCCGCAAATAGCCGCGCCGGTCATCCTTAATTTATCAACTTCTTAATCTTTCGTAATTACGAGCCGTCGCAACTTTTGTTGCCGGTCCTCGATTTCCGTCGAATTGCTTTCTCAGTCGCCGAGAACGTCAGCGAGAACTTCATTCTGGACGCGAGTCGATGTGCCGGGAAGTAGTGTTTTTAAATTTTCGGGAATGTTAGGGTGATTAAAAAATCCCTAGAGAATTTAAGAGAAACTCTGATAACTGAGAATTTACATTGAAGATAATTGATCACCCTTAATAATTTTGAAATAATTGATATTCACGAAGTCGAGGTACTCGTTGGCTGAAAATAGTGTCCCTTTAATTTCTTATTCCTTTCTCGCTTGCGATGACTTTTCTTTTTTTTTTTCTATTTCCGCAGTTTGCGTTGCCACTCATTCATTTCAAGATGTGCAAGAGGATTGATGCAGGGAAGGTTAGGATTGAAAATTTTACCGGGAAGTTCGCCGGGTCCGTATCGACGAGGCGTCTACGTCGCGTGACGCGTCCGCGTATTTGCGTACCTTTTTTTTTTCCTTCTTTTTCCCTTTTTTAGACCATCGGCCGTACCTCTCCTAGTTGCACTTTTACGACCACGAAGGCCACGCGTGGTCGGCATTGAACACGGTAACGCGTGCACGCGTGCGCTCTCGTGCACTGCCGTGCACTATGGTTCTCGTCGCGTCATCCGAGTGAAGTTCCTGGGGAGTAGAGTATTTAATGCGTTACCTTATATTACCTGGGTAATATAACCAGTGATAAAATTTTCTCGGGATTTTTTTTTTTTTAATTGCAGTAACATTCTCGGTTAAATTGCTCGAATTTAAATTCTTGGGAGTTTAAAAACACACTTGGGAGGATGATACGAAAAATGACACGAAACATGTTGACCCCACGTGTACCGATATGTGATCGGGGTCGATTACATTTATCGCGCAATATGCTTGTCGGACGCGAAGCGCGGGTTGTTAAATCCAGACGAAAGACAGAGAGAGAGAGGGAGGAAGAAAATTCTCGCTTTAGAATTCATCCCGTAAAACGGTCTGACTTTTACCAGGTGAAGGCGGGCGTGTTCCCTTCCCTCGTCCCCATGGACTCCGAGACCAGGTCGAAAATGCTGCAGTGGAACTACGTAGGTGACACGGCGGGCTTGCGGATTTTTTGCGAGGCTTATCAAGGGCGGAGTCGCTTCCAGTGAACTAAAAAAATATATGTATATATGTTTGTACATATATACACATTCGTATTCGTACATAGAGGACCGCGAAAAAGTGGCGTGCTGTGTCGTCGTGCAGGCGCCTGCCTTGCCGGCTTTGGAAATCGCATTGCGGGACTAATGGCCGACTCTTAACAACGGGCCTCCCGGAAAAGTGTGTCGGGTGGATTGCCGTTTTACTAACAGAGACTGCCACGCCATGATCACGGAATGGGTATGACTTATTATTACCTCGAGCTTTCGTACCTTGTCGTGCAAGAGCGCGCAATTTGTACCCCCCCCTCTTGGAAGAGCGATCCCGTGATTATCGTTCCTTGATTACCGTTCTTTGACTTTGTCGAGAGAGATCTTGCCTCGTTCCGACGTCTTCCTCGAGATCGTCTTAACGTTTCTCGCTGTTGAGGAAGGATAACAGCTACGTGATTTTTTTTTTTTTTTTTTAAGGGGGACTGGGAAGCACGATTTAAACCCGAACCATTTGGATTGGCTTTATTTCCCGATGTCGCGAATGACGCTTTTTTTTCCTGGGAGGGGACGACGAAATCTCACGTGGTTTTTAGGTTAAAAAAGCCCGTGATGTCAGTGCTGCCTTCGCGGTTGACCTCGCGTGCACATTTACGATTCGCCAGACTCACGTCGGCCAGCTGGACCATAACAGGGATGGGAAAAGTCAACTGGTAATTTTTTCCCCTTTTTTTTTCTCTCTCTCTCCACCGCGCGATGGGCACTTTAATTGCCACTGCTCTGGAGGAATAATCGCACTTTTTTTATCGGGGATAATGTTGGGCAGTTTATGGAGTTCACGTTTGCCTCGACCCCTCGTGGTTAATGGGGGTCGGGTTTTAAATTAAGAGCCCGGCTAATTTGGGGGATGCAGCAGCTGCATTTGCTCGGCATATGGCCCTTATTAACGATGGATCGATGGCAGACTATCTCCTTACGTAGGTCTGCGATGAGGCTTATCCGGTTTCGGATGAAGGGCTTCGGATGGCGCGAAATTATTTTCCTACCCTGAAAAAAAAAAAAAAAAATTCAACTCATCCGTTGCATTTACTTTTTTTTTCAGACACGAACTAACGATAAAATTGCAGGAAAATTGGGACGTCCCCTTAAAATCGTTCGTTTTCGTGCCCCGGGGCACGTCTTGAAATTCTAAAGAGGAATCGTTAAATCGAATGTCACTGGCTGCGGATGACTCTGTAATTCGCATGGCCTTGAAATTGTCGCTCGCTCGTTACCGGAAGAAACTGCATTTCGGCCTGACGTCACGTTTCTCTCGTCCACCTACGACACTCGAGCCTCGACGTCATCCGCCGCCCTCGTCTTGTATTTTCGCATCCCCTTTTTATCCCATTTTTCTTATTTATTTTTTTTTTTTTTCATTTCTACGGGTAGCGGAAAAAATCGCTGCACTTCATTTACGAGCACCTTACGTAAGCCACCGGGTAGACATTAGATGAGAAGTTGCTACAATTTCTCGGGGAAGATAATCGGGGAACCTTTTCGCCGTGCCCGGAGCGAGCTCTAGAATCCGGCGAAATGCTTCGGTAACTAGTTTGCGCCACCACGCCTTTGGCGAGTATCTCGATTTCCATGGGAATTACGAGTCGGTCCTCAAATCGTCGAGTTTCGTCCGTACGCCCCCCGATTTAATGTTCCCGCGCGACAATGCCCCCGCCGCCGTTACGGTCGCGCGTTTTCAATTACAATTTGGGGGGGAAGAAAAAAATCGAGAGTGAAAGGTACGCCGAGAAAGTCCCTCGAATTCTTCGCCAAACCTGGGCTCGCCGGACACGCGATAAGTGCCTTAAGGTGTTATGTAAGTGTCATATACACATATACCGAAGAGTGAAAATATTTATAATGGATGCACCGAGTAATGCGAAACATTAACACGTGATCGCGGAGGTCCTAAGGAAAGTCTTGAAACTCGCGAAATTTCACGTTCTCGAAAATGGGGGAAAAAAAAAATATTTATCCTGGGTGCTAATTGGAAATCCGTAATTTGTTGGAAAAATGAAATTTCACTAGCACCGCGTTTTTTCTTAGGGCGTTTATAATCACGTCTTAACGCTTCTTATTATTCGGTGCACCCTCTTATAAAACAGTTTTATAAATATTTTGACTTTCTGGTCTACGACACTTTCTTAACACCTTAACGTCCCGTTTCTTTTCGCGCCTGCTTCAGTCGGCCCATTGCCTCGTTTTAATATGCCATTGTCTGCCCGATATGTCGGAGGATGCCGCGGGAATGACAAACGATTTCTCGATCGGCCGGGCATACCGCTTCCATTAACCCTCGCATCCTAATGGGCCTCGGCGAAATTCTCGCCGACTCTTTTTCCGCCTCATTGCGGGCTCGTGTCGCTCGCGATCAAGAGGTGCCGATCGGTTTTCGTGTTTTCCATCTCGTGTTTGGTGTTTGGCGGCTCGCCGCGTTCCTCGGCCCTGTTTTCATGACGCGGTATGCGGTGCGCGTCGTGCCGCGACTTTTGGAACTTCTTTGAGGTGAATGCGAGATCGCGGTCGATCGAGTCGTCGCGATAACGATTAAGGCTGGACATCGAGGCACGCGGGTCGATCGCGTTTTTACGCCGTTAAGGCGATACGAAAGGGTCATTCTATGTATATCAAAACGTGAAGGTATTTATAAAACCTTCCTCATGGGTCCACCGAACGACCTTACACTTTAACACGTGATTATGGAGGTTGTAACGAAGGTCTTGAAACTAAAAAATAAAAAAAATGTTTTTTCGCTCTTGTCCGGGATAAGTGAAGGATTTTTTTTTTTTTCCGAAACATGAAATTTCCCGAGTTTCAAGACCTTCGTTAGGACCTACATAATTCGAGTTTCATATTATTCGGTGCACCCGGTTCGGAGAAAAGTTATATATATATTTTCACTTTTTGATACGTAGATGTGACACTTTCGTAACACCTTAACGCCATTTCGGCTATTTATATGCTACTATTTTGAGAGGTGATTTTGGCGGTCCACGGTGCCGACAACCTGCCAAAGTGACGGACAAAGCGTCGAAACCGTTTACGGGGAATGTAAAGCCTAATCTGCACGAATTGTGGAATTAAGGTGAAGTGAACCGTCCGAAACATTGGCACGCGACTCGTGAGCACCTGAGATTTATATCCCGACACCTTTGAAAATTTAGATTTTCGATATTCAAATATGTCGATCAATATGCAAAATTACCAAAGGCTCCGGTATGAGAAACCAAGAATTTATTTTGCCGACGTCGATGAAATTTCTCGACGTGTTTCACTTCACGTTAAGGAGTGAATTAATTTTCCTTTTTTTTTTTTTCTCTTTGGACGTTCGCGTGGTTTCTATGCACGCCTGCAAGTCGCACGGCTCGAGCGGAGCTTCACGCTTCGGAGTAAGGCTTAAAATGCAAAGCAACGAAAGTATGGTTACTGGTTACAGAGCCCGTAGTGACGCAACGTAGAATCGGAGTCCGTTGACTTGGCCGTTGCCTAATCTCGAGGATAGTCGCGGTGCGATGGGTCAGAGGACTGGGGCAAATGATCGTTTCCCTTTGATTTTTTTCCAGCTGGACACATGGTTTGGACGGCCAAAGAAATCGGCTCGTGGGGGTGGGGTCAGAGGTGGTGCTGGCCACAACACCATCCCCCGTCCCCACTCCGGAGACGACTTCAACGAGATCGAGATCCAGGCTTCCATCATCGCGAGGATGGACGAGGAGACGGTCAACGACAAATTCGAGGAGATGTTGGTGAGCCAAAAAAAAAAAATGAAAAAATCGTCCTGTTGCCCGGAGAAATAAGATTCATCGAACCAAAGAAGTATCTCGTTAATTCCAAGAACAATTTATTTCACAAATAATTATTTTCTGAATTATCAAAATATTTCCTTGGTTCGATGAGATCTTTTTTCTTCTCTCGGGGTGGAGGTATTAAGTGTAGCGTGAGTTCGCATGATTGCGCTTTTCTTGGTTTTTTTTTAACGTTCCTTTTCCGTATGTCGCAGGCTAATATGAATCTCACGGAGGAGAAGAAGGAGCCCCTGCGACAGCAGTCCGAGGTGAAGAAGAAAGAGATGCTGGTCTTGCATTACAAGGGCAGCGTGCAGGAAAACAGATCGAAATTCGATAAGCCCGCGGATTATATACAGTATTTGGCTCAGCCTGACCTGAGCGTTAACAAGATCTACAACTGTATCGAGTCGCTGAGGATCGCCCTGACGAACAATCCTTTGAGCTGGGTCCAGGAGTTCGGGACGAAAGGGCTGAAGCAAGTTCTCGCCACGCTGAACGAATGCTACCGGAAGTAAGTCGACCCGAAGATCAGAAACTTAGAACATATGAAATGATAAGTTCATTTAGGAATTTGTAACGTATACCAAATTCACTTTTAGGACGTTAAATCTATTATTCCTACAACCTTGTGTACCGAAAGTGCATGAATTTTATGAATATTTCTAACGGCCTAGTTTCCTCTCTAATGTCACGATGTTGTTCTCTTGCAGTGCCTTCATATATTACGATAGGTAAATGGACAAAATGTTGATTATTTATGACTTTCAGTTGCGATCCCCTAGAACGAGTTTTCGTTGCTTATAAGAGTAAAGTAGAAATTTAAATCGCTCCGATATCTAGTTGTTATTTCGTATCGGGACCCCGCGGGTGGGCGGTCTAGATTTTTATTAAATTATATCGATATCGGACGAGCGAGACGAATTTCGTAGGAATCCTTGCAACCTGTACATATACGGATATCTTAAGTTATTAGTAGAGAATTCTTACGCGTCCCTGTTAGCGCTTATTCGGTGATCCACCATGTTGCATGTCGGAATCCTCCGTGAAGCTTGAAATTTACTTTTCAAGTAGTTAGGGGATGGTTTATGGTCACGTTTATTTACGGAGGGTATTCTTTTTCTCAGCGACAACCGATACGAGCGAATACAGTACGAATGTATTCGGTGTTTGAAGGCGATCATGAACAACACGGTTGGGATTAAAGAGATGCTGGCCCACCACGAGGCGCTGACCATCGTGGCCAGATCTCTGGAGCCCAGCAAACCTTCCGTCATGTACGAAGCTGTGAAATTACTTGGTGCGGTCTGTCTCATCTCGAGTGACAGCCATAAAAAGGTTCTCGATGCCATTACCATGAATGGAGAGTTCAAGGGGCGGGAGAGGTTCCTGCCGATCGTCCAGGGATTGATGCACAAGAAAAACGAAAACCTGAGGGTACGTCTTTCTGCCCGGGCGATCCTCTTCGTGGAGGTCTACAATTAAATTCCAGTCGAAGCCAATTGGTATTTAAATTTTTTCTTTCCCCCTTTTCCAGGTGGTGTGCCTTCAGTTGATCAACTCGATAATCTCATCCGCGGAAGACCTGGATTTCCGGCTGCACTTGCGGAACGAAATCATGCGAGTCGGCTTGGCCGACATTTTGGAGACCTTGGAGAAAGATGAGTCCGAAGACTTGTCGACGCATCTGAAAATTTTCAACGACTACAAAGAGGAGGACTACGAGGAGTTCGTCCAAAGATTCGACCACGTCAGGCTGGAGTTGGACGACGTGAACGACTGCTTCGAGGTGATAAAGAACATGGTCATGGACACCATGGCCGAGCCGTACTTTCTGTCGATTCTTCAGCATCTTCTGTTCATCAGAGACGACGCTCTGGTGAGGTGAGTACCGAGAGTCCGTCGATCGGGCATAAATAACGAGGAGGAAGAGTGTACGCGTGGTAACGAGAACCGTGTCCCCTTTCAGGCCTGCTTATTACAAGCTGATAGAGGAGTGCGTGTCGCAAATCGTGCTTCATCGTTCAGGCTGTGATCCGGACTTTAGTGCAACCAAACGCTTCCAAATAGACGTCCAACCGTTGATCGACACTCTGGTAGAGAAGTCTCGCGCCGAGGACGATCGTCGATGGGTCGAGCTGTCGCAGAAATTAGAGGAAGCGATATCTAGTAAGCAGGAGGCAGAAGCTAAACTTCAGCACGCCGAGAATAAAATCAAGGAATTGGAACACGGAACGGAGAGAACGGGAGGTGGTCCCGCGGTGAGTTTCGGATAGTATCGCTCTCGGCGGTGTATCGTTGTAAAAATAATCTTGTCGTTCTCGTCTCGCGGTATCGATCGAATGAAGTCATTCTCCTTTGATCCTTCATGTCGGATGCTTAACGTCATTCGTAAATCCATAGTTCATATCAATAATAAAGTCATTCTTTTACGCAGAAAGGTGGGCCTCCGCCTCCGCCTATGCCCGGGATGGGTGGAATACCTCCGCCTCCTCCAATTCCTGGCATGGGTGGTCCACCCCCACCTCCGATGCCTGGAATGGGGGGTCCACCTCCACCACCGATGCCTGGAATGGGTGGACCACCACCACCACCGATGCCTGGCTTTGGCAGCCCTGCCCCACCGCCTATGCCCGGCATGGGTCCTCCACCTCCTATGATGAATGCCGGCCCTCGACCACCTGGACCAGGAGCGGTCCAAGTGTTACCTCACGGCTTGAAACCCAAGAAGAAATGGGAGGTCGAAGGCCCCCTGAAGAGGGCCAACTGGAAAGCGGTGCGTCGCTGCTGCTTTGTGTTACCCCTTCGGGTTTTACGGGCTCGATTTACCTTCAGCGGGTCGAATAAAACGTGATATTGCTCCGCAGATCCTGCCTCACAAGCTCTCGGAGAAGTCCTTCTGGGTGAAGGTACAGGAGGACAGACTGGCTAGTCCGGAAATTCTTAACGGCTTGGCGCAGAAGTTCTCGTCGAAACCTGCCGGCAAGAAAATCGACGACGTCGTCGACAAGTAAGTCGGTGTATGTGGGCTCTTTCGTCCCATTGGATGGTTCGATCGATTCGTTGTTAGCAGAGAATCTTCCTTTTCAAGGTCTGCTCCGACCAAGAAGGTTAAGGATCTCAAAGTCTTGGATAGCAAGGTGGCCCAGAATATCTCGATTTTACTGGGAGGAACCTTGAAACACATGCCTTATGACGATGTTAAAGCCTGCTTGCTTAAGTGCGAGGGCCCGGTCATATCGGACAATATATTGCAAGGACTAATTCAGTATTTGCCACCTCCTGATCAGCTGGCTAAGCTGCAGCAGTACAAAGACCAGTATGACGACTTGACGGAAGCCGAACAGTTCTGTGTAACGGTATGGATAGTTGAACCTTTCTTTTTGAGATAATTATTTTGTAATAATTATATTGTTATCTACGGTGATTTGATTCGATATATTTCGGACAGATATCCACGATCAAGAGGCTACTGCCGAGATTGAGATCACTGAGCTTTATGCTGCGCTACGAGGAATTAGTGCAGGACGTAAAGCCGGACATCGTTGCTGGCACGGCTGCGTGTGAAGAAGTGAAATGCAGCAAAAAGTTCGCCAAAATTCTTGAATTAATCCTTCTGCTGGGAAATTACATGAACTCTGGTTCGAGAAATGGTCAAGCGTTCGGATTTGAAATCAGTTTTCTTACCAAGGTTTATTAACATCTCTACCATGAAAGTAGCTTAGCGTTTGATCGTTGTTTTACTATAACTTATAGACTTTATTCGTTTAACTATTTTAGTTAACGAGTACAAAGGACGTGGACAACAAGCAAACACTTATGCATTATTTGGTGGATACGATCGAAAGGAAGTTCCCGGACTGTTTGACTTTCTCGGAGGAGTTAGCTCACGTCGACCGAGCTAGCAGAGTTTCGTTGGAAAACATTCAGAGAACCCTTCGGCAGATGGATACCAATTTACGCAATCTCGAGCAGGATCTGGCCAATGCCAAAATTCCGCAGGGAGATATCGACATGTTTGCAGAAGTAATGACGGTACGCTTGTATTTTTTATCGGGGGGAACAGCGACAACTTTCATGTTCTCTTCCAGAGTTTCGCGACATCCCCTTGATCTTTCGTTTTTGCAGCCGTTCGCCAAGAAAGCCAGGGAATCGTACGAAGTTATGCAAAGCATGTTCAAGAACATGGACAGCCTCTACACGGATATCTCGGAATTCTTCGCCTTCGACAAGCAGAAGTACACCATCGAGGAGTTCTTCGGCGACATCAAGACGTTCAAGGACGATTTTGGGGTAACTTTCTAAGGATCGGCGATCGTTTCCGCGCCAGGAACTGTAAAACGGATCGCGGGAAGGTGACGGTACATGATTGGTTTCTTTATTCTAGCAAGCACAAAAGGAGATCATCAAGATGCGCGAGGGCGAGGAGAAGCAGAGAAGAGCACGCGAGGCGCGGGAGAAGATGGAAGCGGAGAAGACTGCTCGGGCGGAGAGGAAACGCGCACTGGTCGACATGAACGCTCACGAAACGCAAGAGGGAGTTATGGATAGTTTAATGGAGGCTCTCCAAACTGGATCTGCCTTTAGCAGGCCGGATCAACGTCGCAAGAGGCAGACCCGCGCGGCCGGTGGTAAGTTGACGCTTGTCAGGAATAAACGCAGAGCTAGTAGGCTCGTGAAAATCTGCTGCGGGAAGGGGAAATTATTTAGCGGTAGTCTAGGTAAAAGTGTCGCCGTTGCGGGAGGTAACTCGAATGATTCGGCTTCGAAAACACCATTAGGCACCGAGCCACCGCCACACGGTGATGGTTTACTTGGAAATAACACGGAAAGCGGAGATCCTCGGTTACACGCGGGGCAGGATCACACCTTGCGTGACGGACATATTCCACGTAATTACTCGTTACCAGCTTCAAGCCTTCAGGACAGCACTGCCTTTAGAAGTAGTTATTCCTCGGAAAGCGAATTTTATACCCCCGAAGAGAATAGAGACTTGTACAAGCAGATTCTGCTGAGCAAAGCCATAAACGCACCTAAGAAGAGACTCATAGGTGGCGGGGAATTCCCTCGGCGGAATTTGGGTGGCCTCATGTACCGGACGCCGGAAGACAATCACGATTTGCTCAATGTTCTCCTAGACCAGGCTAGAAGGACCCCGAAGAAGCAGAGGTTGCTTTCGAGGATTTCCTTGGGCGGCGGGAACAAGAACAAGGCATCATCCAGCCTTTACACGAACCAAAAATACGAGGCCGATGAGGATACCCCTAAAAGAGTCGCGGAGATCGAAATGCTGGGGAACGTTGCGAAGCATCCTTGTCCACAGGGCATTTATAATAACGTCATTCTTGAAAACACGCCGATACTGAGCCTCAAGTTTGAAGCCGTTGGAGGTGCTGCAAGGGATGGAAGACACATTAGTCGGTTACTACAGAGCGGTTGTGGCAATGTCGAGGGTAGAGGAGCCATTCCTAAAATTATGCTGTACAGTCCCGCGTCGAGGGTGGTTCCAAGCTCCTATTCGAGTACTCGAAGACCCCAAGAGTCTAGCAGACAAGAAAGTCCTAATGTAGCCGTTCAGAATGGCGTTACAGGCACTTCTAAGAGCGAGTCTAGATTTGAACGTCCCGTTGGTACGGCGCAATGGACGACTCCCGGAAAACGCAGGCGAGTTATCGTCAGCAAGAGACGCAGGAGGAACCATGTCGTGCACCGGGTATTAACGACGTACAGGCGGTTATTGTACAAGAAGTACAAAGCCAATGCGAAACGAAACAGGACTCTAAGATACTTGGGCAGTCCTCCCGATATGAGCGTCACCATGCCCGTAGGTCTTCTTCGAGAGTCCACTTCTTTCGAAGCAGATCGTCCGATCAAGAAGGTGCACTCTTCCGATGACGTTGCAACGAAGTCGCGGGTCCTCCCGGTGCATCTCGGATTGCATCGTGCCAACAATTTCGAAGACATTGCCACGCTACAGGATGAAAATCAAAATAGTCTTGCTTTTGGAAACACTTCCTCTGGGGTCGAGGGTTCCGATATGGACACCTCGTCGATGTCCATGTTGACCAATGAATTGCCCGATGTCTGTCACCAGGGTTGATAAAAATCATAATTTAATAACAGAATTAGAAATCGGGATTTTTTTTTGCTTAATATCTTAATTATTTAAATGATATACTAATTTAAAGGGTTGGGTCAAATCGGGATTACTAAAAAATTGTCATGCGTTGTAAGTTTTTAGAGAATTTGACTGATATCTTTATTGCGCGGTTCGTGTAGATGTAGTGCTTAATTAGAATGCAGGAAATTCTTCTTAGGGAGGGTTTCGTTTATCTCAAATCGACATATCTCTTTCTGATCATTTGTTTTAGAACTTGCCTAAATCCGAAGAATTAAATGAGGGTTACGTAAGTCCGATGTGCCTTCGCGTGTTATTAACACAATGTGTGTTCTAAACTTTCGTCTTTTTTTTTTTCCAAGTTTGTTACAGATCCAAATTACCTTTTAATAGTATTAAATTAATCATTGTGATAACGCTCAGTACCATTGTTATAGTCCTAAGGATTTGTGTGTATTATGCCTGAATTGAAAATGACTCGTTTGTAGAATATGTGATACATGTACCGTACTTGCTGTAAATACAATTGTTTTATTTTTTTTTTTATTTTTCCTTAAATTTGTTCAACGTTAATTGGCACGCACTGAATTCGCATTTTAGAATTGTTAAACTAACTGTGTACGTCAATGTCAAATTAAATGCGTTCGTGTAATTTTCATTTTTTTTTTTTTCCCTCTTGAATCTAACGCGAAGATTTGTCAAATCTTTTCCACTTTCGTTTTGAATATTCTCTCCGATGGTAAAGTAGAATTAATGTTTTCAAATTGATCCTACAAGTACCGAGCAATTTTTTTTTCAAGTGGTTTTTGCGAACTCAATCGGTATTACAGCAATGCGGACACTTTTTTTTTGTGCATATTTACACGTTCTTGCCGGTAGTGTGTAATCACCTTGTCGTTTGTATTATTAATCGTGCTGGTTGCATTAACGAAGAATTAATTTTGATTTTGCAGCAGAAAGGAGGGCACAGTTAAACAGAAGTCGATCGCGAACAGGATTGGTGGGAACTGGATTGCTCGGAAGAGAATTGTCTACGTAAGTGATAAGTCCCTTTGAATATGTCGCAATTAACCTGTCATTGATTAATTGAAATTATTATATTTCAGGGAACTGCTAAGTTCAGCGTAACAGAAAGAGACCAAGAGGTGTCCGTCCCAAAATTGATGCTGTGATGTTTTAAGCTTCAGTCTATGATTTTTGAGTACCGCTGCAGCGAAGTACAAAATGGTTCTTACTCAGGCAGGACATAACGATCAGTGCCAGATTATTATCGCACTGTGATACCATTTGTACCCAACATTATCGTTTGGTTCAGATGAGTTTCCCGATGTCTTCCCACTGTCTGAAAGCATCGTCCCGGAGGATACTCTTAAAATGACAGCGACCTAGGTACATAGAAACGTTCAGGGTTAAGGGGATGTGAAAGTGGCATCCGGGAGGTCAATCGTTCATGTAACTTTTCTCCAAACTAGGTGTAATTGCTTCAGACTTTGCAGCTTGAATATGGAGACTATAGGGAAGGTCCTGACACCCATGAAATTTCATTTTTTATCAAGTCGGTACACCCAGTTCGAAGAAATGTTTCATAAGGGAGATCCCTTTGACGTCACTTTCACATCACGTTAATGCATAGTAGGTATGCGGTTACTATGTTTACACAGAAATCGTGCAGGTGTGGTTATTAAGTCCGTACTGTTGGCAATCGTGTAAGGTTTCAATGAAAATGGTAATTGCATGAACGATACCGAGGGTGAGGGGACTGTCGATTGAAAGAAGCCCAGCTCTTATTGAGTTTTAACACGTGGAAAAACTTAGTTAGAAAATCGTAGTCAACTCCACTGCTGCACCACGGACGTTTCGACGATGCTAGAAATGTCTAATTCGTGTAATTAGTATTTCCTCGACTAACCGGAGACTATTATGATACTCTTAGGTGGCAATTGTGGCTAACAGCAACTGAACGTATATTCCGATGGATTGTGTCAAATCTAGGAGAAACGTTTCATGTACAAATCACACGGGAATGGGGAAACGGGAATGTTCAGTCGGTGTACATTTTGTGAGATCGATAACTGCCTCTTCTTCTGTGTACTTACACTGACTCGATCATGAGAGATATGTAAATAGTGCAATTTAGAGCCGTACGTTTGATTAACGAAACAGATAGTTTTAGGGACGCCACGTCTTTTTGTACTTTTTAAGGAATCCTTTTTACTTCATCTTTCGCGGAGATGCATTTACACGCAAAATGAAAAAAAAGAAAAGATATCAAGAGTGTCATAAACCGCCCAACTATCTGCAAGTAAATCTACTTTATAGAAATATAGGATTAAAAAATTGCCAAGACCTCTATTTTAGGCACGACTGTAAGATATAAATGCCGTTCACTAAACGCTATTAATTTCCGCAATAAACGCCATCAATTCTCGACAATTTGACCTTCTCGATGCTGGGCTAGATTAATTGTATTATTTTGAATGGTTAATGCAGGTGTACGTTACGAGGGATTTCTTCGAAGGAGATTTGCCTTCCCCGCAATTCTTATTGCAAACCTACGATCGTGCCTTAAATATGCGCCGCGTAATTAATGAATACTTATCGATAGATAAGGAAAGGTGAGAAATTTATTTTTTTGAATCTTGATGCCAGCTATTGTTTATATTGTATTTGTTGTACGAAGGAAGGGGAGTCTTGTAACTATACTGTGAATACGTACATTTAGAATAAATTATTACTTTATTGATAGGGATGTGGCGCGTTAGAAGTACCCCTTTTTACCTCCTCTCGGTCCATCCGAATATCGAGCACTTAACCATCCGGAGACTTCCTGGGATCATCGGGGAAGATAATGTCGAGGGCATTGCGTAACTCGTATGTCGAACGTTTCGTACAATAATTTATTTTGCATCAATCCTTAATTTGAACTATTATTCTACGTTTACAGTACATGGGCCTATGGTTACGGGGATCGTGTGCAGTTGGCGGAGTCTAATTTGTATCCTGTGTTTAAAGTCGAAGAACCCAAAATCTCGAGAGCAATTTTCTCACCGCGGGGCATACGCGATCGAATAAAATAAATCATTTCTATCGTGCACATACGTGCCGATGGAAAACACAAACCACGGGGCATCGCTTAATCGCACGATCGAGTTAAATCTAGGACACTCGTGTAGGTACATCCCAACGAGGAAACGCTCTTAAAATCTTCTAAACACTCGAATGCGAAAGTATTCGGGAGATCTTGAACGATATCAGGAATCTTTACCCCTGCTCGATAATTGTCCCGGGTAACGCGATACGAAACGATTAACGCGCATGTCGCGCGCATCCCCGTACATGCCGGGATTAATTAGAGGGACAGGAAATTGTTCCCGATCATTTCAGGCTCTTCCGTACATAACCGAGTAAAAACCTGATCGTCCGAATTAAACGGATTTAACCGGTAAAGCATCCCTATCAATGCTCCTGCCTTGGGACTCTCGACTAATACGTCCAACTCATGCGACTCTGCCTCGAGGATGTTTGCGTACTTTGTCAACGCGTCTTTACACGAAATAAACACTAATCAGGCACTATAGTTATTTCAGAATCAACCTGCGCCTGCTATCTGGCGGATAGTTTGTCTCGGGAACCGATTCGGATGTGCTTATATCAGAAGGTAACCGATTTTCGATATACCGCAATGGAAATTTACATTAAATATACATTTATATATCGTTTCTCTCTTCCCTTAAGGATCACAGGCTGATCGGAGGCTTCGACCGTGCTTCGTTTTCTCCTCGTCCTTCGAGGGTAAACGCCATTTCAGGTCACACTATTCTTTCGCGTGTACGAACGGATTTTTTATAATAAGGTGGAACTGAACAAACGTGCCTACGATGCACCGCAGCGCGTAGAAAACGGGGCGTTTCCATCGCTCGACCCGCAACCAAGCCATTGTCGGTAACTAAACTCGCCGAGTCCGTTTCCCTTTATTGTCCGTATTGTCATAATGAAATTGACGCGTTTAATTCTGCCTCGCTCGAACCGTTGTTACTCTCTCTTTTTTTTTTATCCTTTTCTCCCCGACTTTTGTTTTATTCTTTTATATGGATCGCCTGGAGTATCCCGAGGATTCGGGGCCTCGAGCTAGAAAAAGAGATTGTACAGGTGAAAGAATAGTGTCACTATCGTCGAGCTCGACAACGGAAAGCGACTTCCTGCGGCGGACAGAGAGGGGTTGAGGGCGAACGCTTCTTTTTAAATCAGTCCTATATGCCACTCGGATAACGCGGTATATATCCGGTGTTATATTATCGCTTCTCACGGCGAGATTTAACGAAGCGCCAAAGTATCGGGAGCGACGCGCAAAAGTAATGCCTAACGACCTCTTGGGAAATCCTTCGCTCGAGATGATGCACTTTCGAGTCAGGGGCGGCACGACTTCAACCAAAGAAGGGACAGACTTCTTCGAGATGGCTTAGGGTGCCCGGATTTAAGAAAAGGCCCGAACTAAACCTTACGGTTTTCGAGGTGGTCGCGGGTCTTTCCGCGACCTCGAAACAGCTGATCTTTTTATAAAACCACGCATTTAGAACGCGCACCAAGTTGTTCATGCAAATTAAGCGTAAACTCCCATCTCACGTTTAGCGTTAAAAGACATTTTAGAACACCGTTAAAAGCGACCCTATTTGTGCCTTGCTTGTAAATCACACTTTTATAGGAAATCCTTAAAAGAAGGTATAAAAGACGTATTTTCAGCAGCAATGCCTACTAATACCTTCTTTTAAGCTTCTTCCTCAGCGCTGATTCCCTGAAAGTAAAATAAGAAAAGCAAACTTTTATACCGCTTTTAGCTGTCAAAGTCATGCTTGATAACTTTCAGTTATCAAAGTCGTACACGAAAAATGGAATGGCTTAGCGACGTTTCTTACGAAGCAGAAGCTCGAGAAGTGAATACAGGTAATTGAATAAATGTCAGGGACTTTTCAATTAGAATTAACGTCGTTTTCGGCTAATCAAGGTGTCCGTCCTCGCGATCGGTCCTTTTCTTATCTCTCGCAAGCGGCGTGATCTGCGAATCACGAAGGATATGCACGATGCTCGTATGTTTTCTCTTATTTCATCTCGTCCGGTTTGTTTTTATCTTCATTTTTTTGTCTTTTTTTCTTCCGTTAATTCTTTTTGCATGAGGGACACTCGCCTTGATATTTAAAACAGCTCGTCGGTTTTTTTTTTCTTTTTTCGGTATACACGTATCGCTAGTCCTTGAGCTACTTGAGCCTTTGTCTAACGGAAAACTAGTTTTGACCCTAACGAAAACTAGACAACTAGACAAGCTTTTATCAGCTTTACTCGTCACGTTACTTAGCTAGACAACGATCGGACTATGCCATCGTACGATACACTGGCACTGTTACGGGCAACGACGCCGCGACCCTGAAGAGCGGCGCTCGCCTAACTTGTACGCCCTCCTCTCGCAGGAAACTCATTTCAGGCTTTTCACGTTTCCTTAACCCGACCACGGAGACGGATAATTCGGAGTATCGGCAGAAATACATCTTACGGGACCACCCGATGACATCGAAAAGAAGAGCGTAAACCGTAGAGGAGGATAAATAAAATAAATGCATGGGTTACGGTCAACGGCGAAAAGTTATACATTGAATAGATAATGGAATTAAAGCAGGAATATCGGTGGAAATTTTGCAGTCACCAAAATATTCTCACAATTTTAAGGCCGAGCGTTACTTGTTACCGAATCGCAAGGTTGTTTACTATATGAAATCAGACACTCGGCTTTTAATGCGACGCCGCAATTGTTCGTCTCCGGGATACCGCGGATCTACTCGAGGATAAACTCGAGGCCCTCGAGGGTTTCGCGGCGAGGATAATTCCGACTGACTTTTTCGGGGCCTTGAAGGGGAGCCGGTATCCGGCTCCAGCCGAGGAAACTCGAGGGCGAGCATATATAAAAATACTTTACAGAGAGACACGGGGGGCCGAGCCGCCATCTTGCTCTTCGGGGCGCGACGCTTCGCGCGCGGAATCGTTTAACGAAGTCCTGGGATACGATTCAAGACGTATGAGTTTAACGTGAAAGACCGCAGTCGCTGCGTACAGAGATTCGTGTTTCATCTTTAACTCGTACACGGTGTATAGTTTGGGAACGGACACTGCACTAGGTTTCTCCCTAGACGTACGCCATTGCGCAGCAAAAATAGCGTGATTCGAATCGGTGAGGTCTCTCCGCGTGGCTTTGTCCTCTCGCCCTTATCTTTCTTTTTTCGTTCACGGCATTCCCCCTGTAATCCCTAAAAATGAAGGTGCGCCGACCAGAAATGCGCGGAATCTGGAATCGCTCTAAACTGATCTAAGAGGCGGAACGCAAATTTCGCGCGTTTCCCTCGCTTCCTCGGTAGGCCTTGCGCGGCGCATATGTACACGTTTTGTTAGGTTTAACAAGTTCCCGGCATTTTTAACGTAACTTAACGTAACCAAGACGGCGGGAACTTATACCTAGACCTAATACGTTCGACCCTCGGCTCCGAATCGGAGTAGACTCTCGAAAAATCGGCACCGGGTCCCCCTCGGCACTTAACGTACTTTCAAATTAACGTATTTTTTGTCTGCGCAATATCGGAAAGCGCGCAACGAGTTCTTTTCTGTTTTTTCTTGTTTTCTTGTTTCTTCGTTTAACATCGAACATCTCTTACCGTCGTGTATAAACCATGATAGCTAACGAGTTATAAATTCCCGTTTTAGTCTAGGTACTCAAGCAGGGTGCGGCCCGGCCTTGTCGGGGCTCCTCGGGGACGCGATATCGCGGAGACGCCATCTTGGATGGAGCGGCGACGACGAATTTTCGAGGTTTCCTGGCCAACGTGGCTGCTATCGCCTCCCCTTTCGGTTGAGAAATAATCCCAGCGGTTATTTCGATCACATTTTTCGTTCTTCACCGATTCGGGGAGTCGGGAAAACGCTAAAATCGCGTCCGCCGATATCGCGGAGGAACGCCCAACGGGCCGCGCGACGTTTCCGATCGTGGGTGTGTGTGTTGTGTGTGTATATACAGGCTACCACATACAAATATTATTTAATCTTTGTGCTACGCAATACTCTTGTATATTATTTTCATATATAACCATTTACTCGTACTTCTTCCTCGTATTTAACGTTATAGACTATCCCTTTATTCACTAATCGCTATTTCCACACCTTGCCTCGTGTATATTTAACCGCGACGCACCGTGGGGGGATTCTGCCGCAGTTTATGAAAACTTCCCGTTGTAATTAAAACGCCTAATCATAAAAATATTATCATATGTGTACGGTCAACATCGACGCTATCCGTTCGTCTCGCTGTACGCATAAAAGCCGAGGACTACGACGCAGGGTTCTCGTAAAAATTCGGATCAACGGAAGAGGAAGCTTAATTAAGACACTCGGTAGAGTTTCGCGCCAAATATATATGCACACAGGGGCGCGAAACTCTGACCTAGTCGTTATCTGCGGTGTTTATCAGAAATTTATCGCGATTCTTTATCGGGCCATCCCGAGCGACGCAGAATACCTCGAACGCCCCAAGATTTTCGAAAAGGACTTTTGCTCGAGGAAAGAGCCGATTAACCTACGGGGAACCTTTAAATATCGCTGCTCGACCCGAGTCGATCCTAATCGATCGAGAATCTTCGAAGGACCTTGCGGAAATGTCTCCGCGGCTTCGGGATTTTTCTATCGTTTTTTTTTCTTGTTTCTTTTCTTTTCTCGAGATCGAAACGGGATGCGATATGTAAAGTGAAAACAACACAGACTCTCGTATGCAATAACCTCGTGCGAAATTGCACGGCCTGGGGATGATAACTACCTTATTGTTAACAACAGCAGACTACCGAGTATAATGTAATAACATCGTTAGTGTATTAATAAGGTACACCGATCACAATTTATTATTTGAAATTCCCCAAAAATCCTCTTCAATATAAAAGTTCCGTCAAAAATATGCTTTCCTTTATCGATTGCTAGGTAATAATCAAATGTTTATGTTCCAGTGATTCGTTCTTGTCAGTTCGGTGTCCGGCCGGCCGGCGCTCAAGTCGGCGGAGGGAAAGAGCTTTTCTCCGACCTTCTCCTAACGGCTGCCTCGCCTCTTTTAATTCGGTCCATCCTTGGAACAGCCTCCACCGGCTTAAGGTGTTACGAAAGTGGCATTCTGTATATATCAGAACATCAAAATATTTATAAGACTTTCCTCCAATCAGGGTGCACCGAATAATTTGCAACTTTAACACCTGATCATGGAGGTCCCATCGGAGGTCTTGAAATTCGCAAGATTTGATTTGAAAGAAAATCTTGTCCTTATCCCAGACAAGGTGCAAAGGATTTTCATCTTTCGAAAAATAATATTGCCCGAGTTTGATGACCTCCGTAATCAGGTGTTGAATTTTCAAATTAATCGGTGCATCCCGTTTGGGGATAAGTATCATCGATATTTTCACTGTTCGATGTACATATGTGACGCCTTCGCGACACCTTAACGTTCTGCTCCGAAATAAAAATCGCTCAAGATAAGTTAGCCCCGAGACCGGCCCAAATCGATTGAAATCTTCGCGAGGGAAGTATGCTGTTTGCTAAAGTGCCGACAACGCGAAGGGAAAGTCGCAGCGATTAGTAGATCCTCGTAGTAAATTCGAGAATCTCGCGCTTCCTCGGCGCTCCACAGTGCTCGGAAACTTTGCTCGCCGAAATCCTACGACTCGCGTCTCGCTCGCGAGATGCTCGCAGCGCCACCTAGGACTGAATTCTCGAGTTATACGGCTTTCCTTCGGATACAAACAGACTGGCATTGTCGCGTCGTCGTAGAACAGTTGAAAATCGTACACGAAATCCCATGCGAAATTGACAGTTTCGCATACGACTTTCAAATGTTGACTTCATGGTGCAATAATATTTTTCACGGGAAAAACTCCGCTTGACCTCGAGAATCGGGTTTTAGAAGTTCCTCGATGACGTTCGTGAAAACAAAGGTAAAAATTGAAAATTCAAAGCGAGGCTCGGACAAATGATTTCAGGGTGTTTGAGAAATTAACACGTTAACCGATCCTTGCGCGGCGTTCATTTTTATACAAGGCTAATTAATCGTTCTCTCGCGAGGACGAGCATCCGCGACGTCGACGCGATCGAGCCGTCTACTCGTTCTCGCGGTCGAGTATTGTCGTGCCAATGTGTATCGACCCGAGGTGGTGGGCATCGCACGAAATCCGGAGGTTTGTGCCAGAGTAAGGGAAAGGACGCGCGCGTCGACTCATCGGGACGAGTCCATCCTCCGAGCGTGAAACAGACGGTTCGTTGTGTCGATGAACCTGATCAACGTTGAAATCGTCAGGATTATACGGGAACGAGTAAGCCCAGGGTGAGCGCAGCCGTGCACAAGTTAACGATATTGTCCATTGGGTGCACTGAGAAAAACGATTAGTACTCCGGAAACAAATATATATACTGTTGCTTGAATATAATTCTAAGAAACAATTACTCCGTCGAGAAGAAAAATGATATCGTAAATATAAACGAATTTTCTTAATCTTCCTGACATTTCTTTCGAGATACCCCCGTCCCTCAATTTACGCGGAGTATCCCTTCCACGTGGATTCGTCTTACGCGACTGAAAATCCCGGTGCGTAAAGTCTGTCGGTACAAAAGAAAAAAATATTCCAAACAAGTGTTATCATTTACCGCGTAAATTCAGGGAGGAGGGTGTATAATCGGAGGACTGTCGTAGCGACGCGTATTTCTTCGAGTCAACCAACGTGCTCTTTTTTTTTCTCAGTGATGGCAATTTCTTTTACGGCGTTTCCTGCGACTCCTGGCGTCGAGGATACTTGCGAAATACTTCGAAATTGGCACAAGAGCGAAGATACGATTTTCTAATTCAAGTGATTTGAGCTGAAAGCATCCCGTCGCGTCCCGGACGCGTTCCGGATACCGCACGGCGGTTCCGGAAATGCACTTTCCAAAAAGCAGGTATTTTCGATCGGCACCGGATAGATCGTCGCCCCTCCCTCCATTGGTACGAATGGTCTTGAAATTGCAGGGGATGCATCGGATACTCTAGGTACGCGTGCAACGACCGCCGCGCTGCACCCTCCCAGGTCCTCCACGCGTGCGCTCACCCTCGGGGCGCTTTATACACGCGATACGCATGTATTTACACGTAACTGAGCCTATGCGAGCTAGGTGACACGGTTCCACCGTCTAAGAGTCGCGTAGAAGCGCCGCCCTCCGACTTTTCGGGGGTCCGGGTCGGAAAAGGGCGCGGCTGGAAGATGGGGAGCCGGATGAAACGAGCTCCGCAAAACGGACCAACATCCGCCTCCTTTTCCCTATGTCAGTCCCCTGGAAAGCGGTAACTTGGTTACTCTCGTTCCTTAGCGGGCTCGAGCACGGGATCGTCCCGACCGAGGTTCCTTCCGAAGCAGGGAAATTCGGCAAGAAATGGCCGCGGACTCCTTATTCGGGCTTCAGACGATGCCACTGGACGATGGTTTGCCTCGGTTTCGTGATCATGTCCTGCCAGTGCTTCGTCTCGCTGGCTCCGCTGCCGTTCTTCCCTGAAAGCACGTCATGATAAGTCACACCGCAGCGGTAACGAAAAGTGAAACGCTTATTATCCTCTTATCATCGGTGAGTTCACAAAAACGAGAGAAGGGGTCGATTTCCCCGTGGAAACCTAATTTAACCTGACCACGCGTGCACGTCTCGTCAACGTCCCGGTCGCTCCAGGACAACGTTATCGCGTTATGTCGTTACATGCCACTTAAAGCTCCAAAGTGCAACGCAGTTACCCCGGACTCGATTACCATGATGCCGGTAGAATTTGCCTTTGTAACCCCCAACGACATTACCCCCTGTAATCGGATTGATTCGGAAGCCCGGTTTCTCGCGGCGGGCACTTTCGCGTGTTTTCCCGAGTTTTTCTCGGCACGCGATACCCGGGAAACTCGAAACTGCGACTCGTCCCCAGGGTGGAGGTCGCACCTGCAAGCTGGATGCGCCCGATCAGCTCGTTCCTCCCGATGTTGTCGAAGTCCATCACCATCACGTCGAGGGAGCACTCCCTGATCTTCTCCCAGGGCACGTTGAAGGAGAACGCCTCGTTGAACACCGGGTTCAGGGTGCACTTGAAGATCGGCGTCTTGCGCTTCTCCACCCGCTTGTCGCCGAACTGCAGCCATACCTTCACGTATGGATCTGGAAGAAAGATCGTATTTCAATGAGACATCACGTTTAAAGACACATCACACGGGAGGATATTTCCGGTGCTCGACTTCTCACCCGACTTCCCGTTGATGTCTTTGGCTTTGAGGTTCCTGGCCTTCAAGAGCGTGATCGTCAGCACGGAATTGCTGGGATGGTAGCACAGGGAGCACAACAGTTCCCCGCATTTATCCTTGGCCGGTGGTTTAAGAGCCTTCCAAAACGACGGCTTCTCCGAAAAGTCGACCTGTCGAGGAAGAGAAAAAGAAAGAGCTCTGAAAAAACGCGCTCCAAAATGAAATCCAGCCGCCCTTCCTGACGTGGATCATTTCAAGGGACCTCCCTTAAAACGGCGAGCGCTAATATTAGCCCTTCGCATCGAACCCCGGAGTCAGGAATTTTATTCCTCCCCGCAAGAGGAAAATTAGAGATGAATCTCCTCGAACTCGGACCCTGTATGCAATTACCGTTCCCTCGCGGGCACTTTTCCTCGGCAAATTTGCATGGCAAGAGAGAGTCCATCGGAGGTAGGGGGTAAGAAGAGGTTCCCTCTTCTAGGGAGAGCTCGGACGAACGGAAGGAATTGATTCAAGAAATAATACATTAAGGGAGGAGATCCGTCTCCATTAGCCTCCCGACAGGGGGAGGAAAGGCTTGGGGGCGGAAACGTTATCGACGCGCCGGAAACCAGCCCGAAGAGAGGAGAAATGAAGAAATAACCGGGGAAAAGTCACCTTACCTCGGTGCACCCCTTTCCCAGCCCTTGAGGGGCGCTTTATTCGACCCTCGAGCGGGCGCAATTCTCGGGAAAAACTTGCGCGGGGAGAAAACTCCGGGGGGAGGGTTTTCCACGGCGAGAAAGCCACGGGGTGGATTTTCCACGAGAAAGCCACGGGGTGGATTTCTCGGGAAATCGAGAGAACGAGCGAGATTTCCACGGAGGGGAGGCGCGGCATACGTACCCCTCGATATGCCTACGTATGTACGCCCGTATGTACATACGCGTACGCGTATGTACGGCCCATTATATCCGGCATTTCCGGCACGTGCGCGTTCTCACGTTGGATCCATCGAAACGGCGGTGCGTATCGCGCTCGTGATGGCATCTATTAATGGAATTCACCAACCGCGACCCTCGGTGCGATTTCCTCCCGGGGAATGAATATCTCGACGTAATGGCGGCGCGAATAGTCACGGATTCGCGCGTCCGACCGCGAAATTCGGCCGAAAAGCGGCAAAGACCCGTGAGAGGGAATCGGGGAAATTCTTGCGGAAATCGCGAACAGGGTCCTGGCATCCGTTTACGAGATACGCGGTTTACTGCAGTTGCCGACTTTATTGGACTCGCCGTTTAATAGGTCAGTGTCGTGAATGGCTCGGATAGTTTGATAGGTACCGATACAACGTGCGTAACGTCTTGCACCGTCCCCCGGGTAATAGCCAATAAAGGGTTTACACGTGTAACTTTGTGCGCCGTTTACCCCCCTACCAAGTGGAATGCTCTTTGATGCCGCGGGGTCATTTGCATACTCTGTCCAGGGATTGACGGGAGGCTGGGCCTCCTTTGTGAGCCGTCGCGATTGTGCACTTCGCGCATTGAAAATCGGAAATTCTTCGCCGACCGAACTTTCATTATATAGGATGACCCCTGGTATTATGCGCAAAACTCCGTGATTATCATTCGTCACCCCGGGCATCGTTCGACTTTATTATCCGCCTCTTATCTGCCGACTCACCGAATAAAAGAGAATAAACCCGCGATCTCGTTTTGAAATATGCATTTAGTTTAATGCGGGAATAAATGCGAGTGAATAAGAACAAAGGGGCGACCGAAGTGCACTTTTTTATTCACGCCCACTCCTCGAAACGTCGTTAACGCCTTAAGGTGATACGAAAGGGTCGTTCTATGTATATCAATATATTTATACAACTTTTCACCAAACTGGATGCACCGAATAATTTCAAATTTTAATACATGATAATAGAGGTCCTAATGAAGGTAATGAATCTCAGGAAATTTCAATTTGCGAAAACTGGCGACGACATATTTTTGTCAATAATGTGTATATTTGTTTTGGTCGACTAATCTTTTTTTTTTTTTCTCGGGGTATGTATATCGCACTTTTATATCACTTCAACGCCACCCTACCCAGGGGAGTACCAGGGAGTGGTCACCGGTCAATGGTAGGAATAATTTCAACCCGGAGCGCACGTAATGTGCCGTGCCCCGCATGCGCGGTCACGCGTCGCGATGCATTATGCAAATCAGGGGGCGCGCGACGTAAACTTGCCGACTAAAAGTTACCTGGCACAGTGGTAAAAATATTTCCCCGATGGAGTCGTCTCTGGAGAATCGATCGTAGTCGAAGACGTGCAGGTGCAGGACCCTGCTCTGCAGCTTCACTATCGGGAAACCTGGGGACATCGGGGAGAATGATTAATATCGCGGTAATAATTAACCCGCAAATTAGGGAGGAAATCCCCGGTGCAAAGTTTCATCTTAATAACAAATACTGGTTGGACTCGATCGGTCAGAAGATGCGCCGAATTTCCGAAAGGGTCGAAATTTCATCGGGATGATTTACCCCCTTGGGATTTCAAATTGACTAATGCCATCTATCGGTTCGAGTCATCGTTGGTGGTGAACACCCTTAACCCTTTCGGCGCTAAGTCATTTTGGGGGAATTTCATGAAGGCGTACAAGCAATATTCGACCAAACGTCGGATGGACTTATAGGTTCATAGCGCTGAAAGGGTTAAAGTAGCGAAACGTAGTCTCGAGCACCCTCTCATGGATAGGCGGGGGTAAATAATACAGAGTCGTAGGAAACCGATTATGGAAATCCGCGCGAAACCATCTCCAGGGTGAATTACGGGGACTCGGCCTGTGCGGGGGAGGGCGAGGAAGGGCCTCGAAATGCGGACGCGGAATATCTTATCTCGGTCGGGGTAATGTTTAGGGGTGAAGTCGTTGTTTGACTTCGGTCGCCAAGGGCGGGGGTGCCGGCAAAGAGCTTCTCCACCGCCGAGGCGATATAGCTGGCCTAGGTCTCGGCCGCACTTTGGTGCTGCACCCCCGGTGCACCCTGTGGCGCAAAGCCAACCATCACGAGGGTGCCCATTTGTACGAACCAGAGCACGCAAATTTCCTCGCCTCGAAGTCCATTTACCGGGAGAAATGCCGAGGTAATTTCGCCCCCCCCCTGGATTCGGATACACGCAGGGGAAGGAAACAATATTCCTGGGGTACGACGTAGTGTACTCGGCACAACGACACTGTTAAAAAAAAGTGCTAATAATTTTAGGACATTAAATGTGTTATTCTAATACGACCCTTATGTGCTAAAAGTGCATCGATTATATGAATATCTCTAACGGTGTACTTATAAAAAAAATTTTCCTCTACTAAAAGAAATATCCATTGCGACAGGAAAATCCTCCAGTCAAATACGTCCAAAGAAATGTCAGGATGAATAACGAAAATTTGTTTTAATCGACGATGACAATTTTTCTTGCGATTGTATGCGATCCAAGCAACAATGTATATTTGGTGCAGTCAAGTAATGTATTTTTCAGGGTATATTCGCGGTCTGTGCCGACTGCACATTTAATGCCCCTGGCCGTGCGCATATGAATACAGGTATACAGGTTCGTATACGCTGGTGTATATGTATATATGTGTGTATATACAGCCAGGTATCTATAATGCGTTGAGTGCACGTCGCGAATAATGCATTTGGCGTCCGCGGCTGTCTCTGATGGGCTAGGTCGGGAAAAGCGAGCGCGGGACTCGGGAAACCGGGATTAATCGGAAGAAAGCTCGATAGCAGACGTCGAGACGACCTACCTTCGAAGTAGAAGGTCTCGTTCCATCTCGGGTTCAGCGTCCGTCTCTTGATCTTCGTCTCGAGACGGTGTTTCTTGTCCGGGAGGAGCGTCACCCTGACGTAGGGGTCGGAGGTCCCGGACAGATCTTTCGCCGGAAGGTCCTTGCCCTGAAAACCAGCCACGTCGAATTGATCTCCTTTCTTGCCTTTCACCATCTTGTTAAATCATTTTTATGTCAAGTGATGTGAAAGTACCGTCAAAAAGATGACCCCTCGGGGATGGCACCCCTTAACGCAAGAATGGTTTGCACGGTCTCCTTTTGTGAATTTTTGTTTTTTCACCCCATAGGAGCGAAGAAGGGGAGTCTTTGCCCCCATGTCAACAAGCCCAAAAATCAGTACTCGAACGAGTTGACCCGTCGCATTACTTTCCACCCCTAAACTCACGAGGGTAACCAGTATGAATTTACGCGTTTGTTTACCACGCCGGGAATTTTCCCTCCGTCATTTGACGGGGACCTTAAATTCCCAGATTCCCTGATTTTCGAGAGCAGCCCGTCCCGATTGCCTTCCATATCCCGGGACGTCACGTCCCGTATCAAACCTCGTATCGATAAATAACTTCGGTGGATATCGATTAACGGTCCTCGGTACTTCCACGCTATTGCACATCTGCGCGCTGGATTTTCGACAGAGGATGATTTAATATCAAATATCGCTCGACATTCGATATTATGCCGAGCCGATATTCCGCGTCTCTGAGATTATTTATCCGATCCGATTTTAGCGGATTAAGGTGTAATGAAAGTGTCATATATATATAATAAAAAGTCGAAATATGTATAAAACTGTTCTCCAAACTGAGTGCTTGGATTAATTTGAAACACTAACACGTGATTAGGGAGGTCCTAATGTAACTCGATAATATAAACTCCATAATAAAGGTTCAAGTTATTCGGTGCATCCATCTTGGAGGAATGTTATTTATATAAATATTTTTACGTTTCGATGTGTATAGACCGAATCTTTCGTAACACCTTAATTTATTGAGAATCGTTTTGCAGCGGTTTAATCGCCCTAGAAAGCGTTCGGTCTCCTCATTGTTGATTCTAATAGACTCCTTTTGTATTTCGATTCGCGAAGTGCAAGACCACTCGAGGCCACGTGACTCAAACTTCCCCGACGCGAAAGCGTCGCGTGCATTTCGAGGCAGCAAACGGCAGAAGAAGCCTCAATTACCCGCTCGACTACCCTTGAGAAAAGGAGTTCTCACAACTCATCAGCAAGCATTTTCCAAGAGGGAGTCGGTTCTTCTTTATTCCCACCTTTTTCCCCCCCGACGTTGTCGCTAATGCCGGGAACTTTAGTCGATCCCCGGGGATTCGCCGAGCCTTTAGTTATACAGTCGGGGAATTTAATTACGACCCAGGCGACCGAATAAATTGTCAAAACTATGCTGGGGGGGGTGGAAACGGAAGTTCCGTCGACTCGTGAAATATTCTTCGAGTTTTACATCGGCGAATCGAGCTCGACTCCGGGAAAAATGAAGAATTTTCCTGGCCTCGAGACTTTGCCACGATGGGATGAAACAACGATCGGGCCATCGATTTTTCTTACGCGGCGAGACGAGACGAAATGTTCGCTGGTAAATTCAACTAAACGCGGAGAAAAATCTATATTCAAGATGGTGGCTTGCGATGACCGAAGCAATTTGTCAGGAAGTTAGCACGTGCGAGTGATTATATTTCACGGGCCACCGGGAGTTGCGGACAGTCGCGAAATTTATGTCACGCGAAAATCACGGAATAATTCGCCATCGGAATTGATGGTTAAGGGGATGTGAAAGTGGCATGGGGTCGCTCGTTGGTGAAACTTTTCTCCAAACTAGGTGCACGGAAAAGTTTAATAAATGAACGAGACCTCCTCGACGCCGCTTTCGCGTATCACCTTATCAAAAATGACGACAAAATCGGCGACTCCTGACGTATTTCGACGATATCTCTAAACTCGAGATTATACGCGATGAGCAAACACGAGGATTGATTTCTCAAGGGCTGGGGAATTTCGCGAGGGCCGACGTTCGCGCAAACACGGGGTTGATTTCTCAGGGGTTGGAAGCGCAGGGTGCAACGATGCGTTTCGGTGCAACAGGTCGAACATGCGATCTAGGTTAGGGTGTCAATTATTAGAACTTCAGCCTAAAAAGTCTCTGATTAGGTTTGTCACACTAGGGGTGGAAAGTTTCGTTTTGACGGCATATTTGTACACGTTTATATACGTTTACGGAGGGGCGACTGCATTTTACCCCATTTCCCCTAATTCCGGATTCGACATAGGTCGACGTCAAGCGAGCTCATTCCCGAATAAAAATTGCAGCACGCGTTTCGCGTCTCCGGATTAATAACTCTGGAAATATGTGGACACCGTGCACCTTGTTACATTCTGTTTAGTGAACTGCATGCTCTGGATGCATGCGGTCTGAAACATTCAGACTCTGTTCCCGTTGCATTAAACCAGCGAGCATCAGCAATTTCCGCCAGGACGCACTTCGTCCGGAGCAATTTGCTTTTGAGAATTAAGCCGCGAAATTTCCTCACTAAATAGACGCAATCATCCGATACGGCTGCAAACTCCGATGACGTTTAACAGGTGCCCGAGTGCATCGTGTATACTTAATTACCGCCAGAAAGGAGATTCGATATATGTATATTTCGAAATCCAAGTATCTTTGGTAGTTCATGAAATATGACTTGTCCCCAGTAACATGGAATATTTGTTTAATATATATTTTTTTTTTCGAATATTGTGTAATCTAAATATCTCAAGCGACATGATTTTTCAGAAAGATGAGCCATACGTATCTCGGAACGAACCCCGGCTTTGATGTCAACTTCTTACCGTCCTCCTAGTATCGCATTCTCTTGTGGTAATCAACACTTTCTCGGCGTCCTCGTTTTTTAGACAGACCCCCTCAAAGGTAAAATTGAAGCCTGGGGCGAACCATTCGCGCCGCGATCATTAAAGCCGCCTTTCTAGCCTTCTCGACCGCCATGTTCAAGTTTCGCGAAAAAAAAAGAAAAAAAAAGAAAAAAAAAAATCCAACATATAGGGAACAATTCTTGATGTTCTTTTCTTCTCGAATCTCTAAATTTCTGAACTTCCCCTTTATCGCGAGCCGGTGAAGCGTGATCTGAATTTCGGAATTCCAGGCATTCCAAACCGCATTTCCCTGGTTTGCCCAGTGATCCGTGGTAGGATATTGATTTTCCGAGTTTCCCGGCTAATTTACCATTAGTACCGCGGTAAACAGTATTTCGGAAAATGACTCGCCGAGGGAAGGAGGAGGAGGTACCTCCTCTCGTTACGCACGGTGCAATTTCTCCGGGAAACAGTCGGGTGAGAATTCCCCGGCATTTCTGGGAGACCTCGAGGAGATTAAACCTGGGTAAAAAGAGGGAGGCCAGGAGCTTCCTCGTAATTTTCATGAAGCTCACCTGCATGATGCGCAGGATGAGCGTGGTGTTCTGGAAGTCGTACTCGAGGCTGAAGTGAATCTGCCCGACGTTCTCGCTGGGCTCGCTGTTGTCGATGTACATGTCCACCAGCGAAATGGATCTGTTGTGGAGGAAGGCCTTCTGCAAACCGAAAAGCCACGCGGAATGCATTACTGACTTTTCCCTCCGGAAATAAAACATCCATTAACCTTAATCCGCGTCGTTCAGGTGGAAATTCGGGCTTTCCTCTGCAGGGAAAAAGTTTGCCTGGAGAACCCTCGCTTTCGGGAAATTCCGTGTATTTATCAGACCGTCTAGATTTAGGTAAAAATGGTAAAAATTGCCCTTTCAAAATATTATGTACACAGTTTACAGTATTTCCCCCGGGGGTGTAATAAAGGACGGAGATATCGACCTGCATCCGTACGCCCTCGAAAAGGTACCCGATAGATTCTGAATTTTTCATTTCCATCGTTTTATGCATTCAGGGTGAAGAGGGATCGCAAAGGAGGAGAGGCCGATTTTATGAAAAGCGGACAACCGAGCGGTGAGGTTTTTCTTGATAAATTTTCTTCCCCCGTACTTCCGACGGGAAAACGTGAAAAAAAATCGATTAATTCCCTTATCGCGGGGCCACGCTCGATTTGAGGCGAGGTTTTTGTCTTTCCCTCCCCGAGTCAGATATTACCGAACATTGTCGGTCGGGAAACTCAAATTACTGGGGCGGAAATAGGGCTAAGCGAGGGCAGCCCCGTTTTCGAGGGGAGTTTCCACCCCCTCGACGCAAACATTTTCAAATAGCGTTAAACGCTAAAAACCTCGTTATCGGGGAACCAATCTACCACCGGGGGTTGCGAGTTAAGGGTAACTGTTAAAATAAAAGTCCAAGTTTCCAGGGCCTCCATCGATCGGCCCGTTTTCGAGAGCAGCCCGGTTTTTTCGAAATCGAGTTAAATGTCGAAAGGAACCTGCGTCAGTCCGATTAGCACGAGACATTTCCAAAACAAAGGGTGCATTTCCTCCCCTGGGGAAAAAAAACCGTCTCCAGGATTTTTCGAAATTTCAAGTCGTTCGCGGGGATTTTCCATCCCTGTGGGTGCGCGGAGGTATCGCGAGAAAGTGGAGATTAATCCGGAGAAAATTTCTGAAAGGGGTTCATTAATCAGGCTGAAATCAATACGCGGCCTGGAAATATCGAAGAGCGACGCGAGGGGGATTTTTGCACCCCCGGGTCTTCGTTAAAGAAAGAAGTCTCGTTACGAGGGAAGTCTTTGCCGAGGACCGTAACATAGTGTTAACCGCGAAAAAGAGATCCTCCTAGGATAAGTAATCCACTAATGAATTGGAGGGAATAGACGGAAGAAAGCCCCAACTTTTTCGCGCTCCTCGGGGGGTTAAAAAGAAAGTTCCGCGAGCAAACATCCCCAAATGGAGTTAACCCCGATGAAGAGTTCCGCTCTGAAGTCGGCGGAAGTTATCCCCCGGCAACGAATTTCGAAAAATAGCCGGGGCCCTGGTTTGCATATTTCCGAAAGGGGGGTTCGCTAAAAGGGTTACTCCACCCCCGCTAACGTATTTTCAATCTCGCCGGGGTCGATCGAACGTTTCTCCGACTTCAGAGGAGAAATCCAGTCCGCAAGAAAAATGCCGTCGGGAAGTAATTGCTCAACCCTCGACATTGTGGCCGCGGATTTCACAACCCCCCTCCTCGTTACGCCGATTTCCGCTTTGCGGAGCCTCGATGTAATTTTCCAGAAATTCCTCGCAATCCTCAGTAAGGACGTCAAACGTCGGATAGGGCGTCCCCGGAATTAATTAATTAGCATCCAGCAGGTGATGGGAGCGCGCCTTCGAGCCGTCAAAACCCTAATAAAATACAATAATTTCTAAATATTAATAAAATGCACGACATTCGTTAAATGTATAGAAAATATGAGAGCAATTTTTGGGGTACTAGGAGGGTTGCGATTTGGTCTTCCCTCGGGGAGGGAAATTTCTGGAATAAATTCGGCCATTTTCCGGAAAGAATCGTTTATTCTGGTTGCGTCTCGAGGAACAGAGACAGCTCGCAGTCGACACTCGGTACTCGGTACTTTCTGGGCACCCCTAACGAGCCATTATTCCCGCGTAATTACGTCTGCCCTGTTCCGACCGGGATTCTAACGTCACCTGACATTCACCGGAAGGAAAGATGGCCTTCGAGGCCGTGGAGCTCGAAAAGGCGAGCTCTCCCCGATGGAGTTGGCTCGAATTAAATTAACGCGCACACTCCGGGGGTAATAAAACCTCTCTTCGGTCCTGGGAATCTTTAAGGTGATATTAAAGGGTCATTCTATACATATGAAAACGTGAAAATATTTATAAAACTTTTCTCCAAACTGGGTGCACCGAGTCATTTGAATCTTCATGTGATTATGGAGGCCTTAAGAAAGAACGTCATGAAATTTCATAAAAAAAAAAATGGTTTATTTATCCCAGACTTGAATCAAGATCACATATTTTCCGGAAAAATGAAATTTCACGAGCATCGCGTTCTTTCTTAGGACCTCCATAATCACATGTCGAAGTTGCCATCTATTCGGTGCACCCAGTTTGGAAAAATGTTTTTATAAATATTTTGACGTTTTAGTATATATATGATACTCTCATATCACCTTTAGTACCGGAGACAGTCGTGGATAAAATGGGGTTGGGGATGAAAATCTTCCGTAAAAAGTGTAAATTTTCATTAAACCCGAGTTTCGAGCCATTCTCCCCCATTAAAGGCACGTCGCTCTCGAATGTTCATCCTTGCTCGGTAACCCTTATTCTCGGGAACCCTCCGAGGTGTCTGAGCTGAATCGGGGACGCGAGACATGAAATCATCCCCGACTTAGGGTGGGTCAAATTGATTTCCATGACCCAGTAAGAGAGTGCCGCGGGAGAAGTATCGAGGGTCGGAGGGGTGTCGGAGATCTTAAAGAGACACCCCTGGGACAAAGAAGAACCCCTCCGCGTCGGGCGCTGATTGGAAAGGTCGGCGGAGATTTATAGAGCTGCACCCCTCGCCGCGATTAATTGCAGGGGAATTCGGTGCATAATCATCTAACCAGCCGAACGAGACTGGGAATTCAATAAAAATGAGATCCTATTCCCGGATTTCCGGAGAAAGTAGATGGAACCTTCCAGTTCGTCGAAAAATCGCCCGATTGCGCCCTCAGAAAAAGATTTCACCGAACCAGAGAAATACTTCTATAAATCAAAGAACAATTATTTCACTCGAATAAATTTCAATAAATTCGACGGAACGTTTCTTCGAAATTATTACGATTTACTTCAGACAAATTATTACTCTGTGAATTAACAAAGTACTTGGGGCTATGAAAAGAAATTTTTTTTTCTGCGTGCCGAAATTTAGGGGGCAAGACTCCGGAATCGTTATCAGCGGAGTTCTTGTCAGTAGGCACGTTGGGGGCCAATATTATATCCGCTCCCCCGATCTCGCTTTGTCTTGCCAGGAAGAGCGAAACGCGAACAAACAGAATCCTCTGTTGATTCGACAAAATTGAGCCCGGGGGTGGAAGAAGGGGAGGCTCGTGTGCGGACCTAAAAGAGGAGCGTATCGACGTCTCCGTTTACCCAGTCGGTGGGTTTTCGTCGATCGTGAATTTTTTCAATTTTCGGTCGAATTTAGCATAGACACGCGAGAGTTCTCCTTGTAGAAAGGGGAAGTCTTACCGAGGGGTGTTCTCCTCCCTTGACGTTCTGCAGCTGTTTGTTCTGCGGTCCTGCGGTAGGGGTGCGGGGTTCTCCACCGGGTCCTGGTCCTCCAGCGGCTGGACCACCGCTGCCACTGGCCGGCGATTTGCTTCCGGGACTTCCGGTGGTCCTAAAAAAATCGTACGACTTAATCAACCCCTGATCGCCAAGGACTCCCTACGGAGCGTTTCTCGGACTGGTCGTTAATTAAGTTGACGTGAAATTTGTATAAATATTTTCGATACATATCTAGGTATAAGGTTCCTGAACCTCTCGAAATTTCATTCTTCAAAGAACAATTTTCTTTCTGTGCTTCTCGTCCGGGATAAATAATAAAACTCTTCCTTCGCAAAAATGAAATTTCCGAGTTTGAAGACCTCACACTAGGACCTCTGTAATCAGGAGTTAAAGGTTTAAATTTGAAGTTTAAACCAATTTGGAGTTTGTACATATTTTGACTCTCTTATGCATATATTCATGACACCTTAACGCGTCCACCCTTTCGGAGTAACTTTTCCATCCCGTTCGATTTTCCTCCTGCCCGTGTTTCGCGACGAGGGACGGAGGGGGCGAATCGCGGATGCATCGATGACCGCGGAAAGTGCGATTTAAATATTGATCGAAACATTTGCTTGCAGTTAACGGATCTCGGCGGATGGGATTTTATGGAACACCGAGAGGAGAAGAAGAAGGGGTGCGTTCCTCCGGTTCGCCGCAGGATCGATATCCTCGAGAGCTCCCGGCCTCGCGCGAATCGTAAAGCGAATCGCCTAGTCGTCGGTCCTAAAACTATAACCGATTTAACGGAGTTTAATCGCGTTACAGGCTCGCCGTCGGATGATACTTCGTCAGGTCGTCCCACCTGGACCGTTGATGGCCCGCGAGTTTTATGACGTCGGCGTGCTCGACTACTCTCGGAATTGCGGCCAACTTTCGGGGCCGTTAGGCAGATCCACTCCGAAGTAACAAGTGAATACGCTACTTTCCGTCCTTGGGCTCGCCGTTTGCCCCACTCGAATAAGAACGCTTTTCCGGGACGGCCATTTTCCAGGGGAACGTTTCCCGAAGAAGTTCGCGAGAACGGATCATCGCCGACCAGAGTTCTAAACGCGACAAGTAAAAACAATGAGGAAGGGATGTATCGGTGGATTGATTTTTATTTTTTTCTGGATTTACCTGGGCAACTAGTAGGTACCTATTTTTTTTTTTTTTAAACATTCTTCGAGCGAAGATATTTTTTACATCGATTTGCAAGGTGGCGCTACCGGGGTCGCGACTTCGATGGGATTTCGGGAGAAATTTTCGGCGAGGAAGGGATGATCGTTCTTACGGCGAGCACCCGGCGACGGGACTAAAGGGAGCACGTGCGTGGAGGAGTCGCTTTTTTATAGTTTCAAGTTTTTGCTGTATTTTTACGGCCCGACAGTTTTACGACGCAACGGTTGCACGACCAGCTTCGGGCGGAGTTGCTCACGGACTTCTGCTGCCGTCAGCTGAGCCCATTTACAACTAACGAGTGTCGCCACTTTTTACCATATTTCATCCTTACGTGTTGAAAAACGCGACCGATCTTATTTTTTGTTTTCCCCCGAATCCGAGTTTCTTTTTACAGCCAATCCAGCGCAACCCCATCGAGGAGAACGAGCCGTATGTAGGCAGCCTGTAAAAATGAATGAGCTTCGCGGGGCGAAATTGGTCGCTTGCCAAACTGAATTCTACCGAGCTTCGCGTCACGGTAGCTCCGCTTTTTGCCGAATAGTTCTTGTCGCGACAAAATGGGGAATTATGATAAATAGGGGGAAGGAAGAACAGCCCTGACAGAGACGGATTGCGGAGTGGCCGATTTAGCTGTTTTGCTCTGCTCGACAGGGAGGCAATTAAAAATCCCTTTAGGCGTCGATTTTCCAACCACGGGAAAGGTTGCCTCCAATTAAGGGGCGATGCGAAAGGGCCATTCTGTATATATAAAAATCTGAAAATATTTATTAAATCTGCGCCGAGTAATTTAATTTTTTTTTTTTTTAATTGATTGGCATGGAAAGAATCGATTGCGGATTTCTGGTCTCTTCGGGGCATCGAAACGCGAAGGACTGTCGGAAGAAGAACGAAGCTCGATATGGGAGGAACACGAAACGACAGGGTTCAAGGTTTCACCGCGAGTGCCAGGAATAGAAGCATCGTCGATGAAATAACCCTTCGCGGGTTCCCGACAAAGGTCGATATTTCGAACGACCTAAAGGTTAGGCCCGATTAACGGCGTCGAAATTCCGAAAACCCCCGCGAAATCGATACCCGTTGTACGGCGATTCGTGCGATAGCGCTATCTATGCATTTCCGTCATTTTGATTATATCGCCGGTATTTATTATCTCGGCGCATTCCCTCCGGCATCGGCGTTCCTATTAGTTCCCCCGAATTTTAAATCCCACGGCTGTAAATTTCCGCGATGGAAATTTACCCCTTCCCGCGGAAAACGGCCGCGAAACCTCTCCTAATAAAATGACCGATTAGGGTAATTTTTTTTACTTATAAGGGGAATAAAAGTGGATCAACTTGCGCTGGAAAGACGTAACGCGCATCTGTGAATTAGTTGCCAGCGCAAGTTAATCGCAATTCTCTTCGAAGTTCCTTTTTGCGTGTCTTTGAATCCTCACCTCCCCCCTCGGACGACGAATTAATGCGATAACGATTACCGTCGCAATTTATCGCGCCCTATGAATTATTCCGCCCTCGATGGCGACGACGTCCGAATATCGCGGGTCCCTTCGTCGTGGTCTGCCTTCATAAATCCCCGTTTCCGGTTTCCTACGTCGCCGGCATGATAACTCGGCCAATCGTTAACCTCCTGAATTTTCGTTTATTTTTCGACCGCGGCCCTTATCACCGGTCGTCGTTATCCGCGAAGGTCGAGGAAGTGAGATATTGTTTTGAGGTTAGGTCGGAACCTCACGGTTCCCTGGTTCGATTTCACGGGAACCTCTCCGACATTCCGGAAAAATGAACGAAAGCGATTCGACATTTCTTAGGGTTCGATGAATTTTTTTTTTATTTCTCATTGGAGAGCTTACTTCGAAAAATAATACAACTCGTCAGCGGATGTAATTCCCAGGTTTTAGACCGATAATAAGTGAACTTTCGAATTATTTGGAAATTTTCTCGGAATTTTATCCGAACCTCGAGAGGCGGGATTTGCTCTCTCCCGGCGATCTCGAAAACGTGTACGACTCCGACCGCTCCAGTTAGTCCTTTATGACGCGGACCGGAGTTCCTTTCCCGGATTCTTTTCTCCCGTTGTTCCGAAGTCTCGGCACAATCGACGTGTTCGACGTTTTCGACGTTCCGGGAGCTGCACCCGGTCGCACCCCAACGGGGCCGATATTTCAAAGGATCTTTACGTGCCGTTAGTTGGCTCCTCTGCAAGAAAAACGAATCGAGAGACTCCTTCGGCGATACGATTTCAAGAGATTTACCGCCGGTATAACTCAGTTTCCGGGGCCGTGGAATTTATTGCGGCCAGTTTGTCGGTGGCAAATAAAAATTGACGTGGATTGAAAAATAGAGACGAACGGGGGTGTAATTGAATTTAAAAAGTCGAGGGGATACTCAAGAAATAATGGATATGCAATCAAAGGCAATCGACTCTCAATGAAGGAAATCGTTTTCACTGATTCCCAAGTGAATAGCCCCTCGATAATGATAATTCGCCACGAAGAGGTTCGCGAGAGAATTTCGCCTATATGTCGAAAGGGTTACGTATTCAAAGGGTTAAAAGTGCAAATATCTTTTTTTTTGTGCGGTGTCGCGAGTTTCATTGTGGTCTTCGATGTCGATCTTCTTCGTCCCGCCATTCTTTTCCGTTTTCCTCGGTGTTTCCCGGCACAATGGCCGATTCCGTAAATCGCGGGATATTTCGAGAGCCGGCCGAGCACAGGTCCGAGCATCTCCGGAGGCAATATCTAGGAGGGATCCTTAGGAGTCGTCGATTGGCCCCCGAAGGTTGGGATCGACCTGACCCATTTTTCTTTTTCCTCGCGTTCCCTTCCTCGGGGGCATCGAAATCGTTACAGCTTACTCGGAAGCTCGCACTTAATTCTACACGTCAGGCTCTCTCTAAGTACACTTTTCTGGGGGTAATTCCTGTTCGGGTATTAAAACAAGGAAAAATAAAAATAAAACATAAAACAAGTCCATCGAATCTTCCGACGGTTCGCGGTCCTCCGGGAAATTCGCCCTTGGAGGAAACGAGGAGTCGGCCATCCGTCAAAGCACTGACCACGGTCAATAATCATTAACCCCGAAGACGGCAAAGTTGTAAATTATCGAGGAGATCCGACCGTGGAGGCTTCTACAAAATATAACCCCTTCCCAGTGCGGAAACGTTCCGTAAACGGTTTTTCGAAACCGAGGGACATTTATCCCGGCCTGTATCGGAAATGGACCGAAATACGAGGTACGTGACGTCGGGACGCGAAACATAATAGGAAACCAATATCCGCAAAAAAAAAAAGAAGGAAAAAAAACAACAGCTGATACTTTATCGCCGCAATTCGCCTACTCGAAGCGCGATACGGTATCCACCTAGTCAAAAATCCGTGGGAAGTTTATGGTAATATTTAAACGTTAATCCCCGTCCGATAAATTCTGGGGAGACCGGGGTACGAAAAATCCGGCGAAAATATTGGGACGAGGGCAATTTGGAATTTCATTATCTCCTCTTCTGGGGGGAGACAAAAGGCCAGGAAATGACTCGAGCTGCCGAGGATCGCGGAAAAGCGTTTTTCTCGGGGGAGGTAGAGCACCCTTCTCACGGTCGTTCGGTTTAAAGGTCCGCGGCTCGTAAATCTAACGCCGTTCCCCGATTCGGGGGGAATTTTCGACAGGGTCGTAAAATCTCTCCCTCTAGGAGTTTTTCTCTTTGGCGAAACGGAAGCGACCCCAGGACCTGGACAGGGGAGGAAAGTGCTCCGGGGCTGTACGACCGGTTACATTATTCATTAAAACGCGGCTTTCTTCCTCCGTGAATTCGCGCGGGGCGCGAGTCCGCCAAGAATGGATCCGCCTCTCTCGAAATCTTAACGAGTCATTTATATGCCGGGCAAGAAATGCGGGGGCAATAATTCCGCGACTTAACGCGATATGAAAGGCGCCGGGAAATTTAATCGACGTCGATGAAATTAAATTCATCTGCATCCTTTTCGGTGGTATCGCCATTTTGGGTACTCGCGTGAGAACATAATTTAGCGCGTCATGTTACCGACATTTATGTTTATGTTTCCGTTTGTCACCCTCTAACTAAAACTGTCGAAATTACGTGGATTCATAATTCTTGATAAAATGGCAGAATAAATTCTTTTCAATAAAAAAAATAATAATAACGTACAAACTGCTTATCAGTCAGTGGAGAAGTGGTTTGTAGCTCTTTTTCACTTTGTAGGGCCTTTTTTGAACTCGATAATTTTTTTATTAGCATTTTTTCTGGACTCTTTTCAGCACTCGGAGACTCCCGCGCGGAATACGGGCCAATCGGCACTTCCGGTCGGAATTAGTCCCTTTTCCGGGATTTGAAACTTCATCGAGCAGTGCTTTGTGCCTCTGCGAGAACGCGTCCGATAGTGGGAGCCATTCGGCTCCTCTTTCTATCGATTTCCCCCTCGCGATGCCTCGCAGAGTTTCGGAGTTGCGAACTCGCGGTGCGGTATAGTTTCCCAGGGAAATCCCGGTATTTTTCAGAGGACGAGCTGTCTTCGTATAGTGCCCGGTCGATACAGTCAACGATTCGTTCCGTTCTTTCCTTAGGAATCGAGTTAACATCGAGCTCTCGGAAGGGCTCTTAACGCGCGAATCGGCACTTCCAGTCGGCATTTGTATCCGGCGCGTTTTAAACTTTATCGACGTCCATTGTTCGGGAATTGAAGGTGTCCTCCAGGGGGGAAGGTGCAGGAGTCCCTCTCGAGAGCGTCGTTTCTTCCGGTCCCTCGAAGTCCTTGTTTCCGTTCGTCTCCGACCCGACGTCCATTCCGTGGGAACTTTCGCAAAGTCCCGAATAGGCCCGGAAAGAAATCCGCCTATATCGAGGTCCCTCCGCATTATGCGGAGACTGCAGAAGGCGGAAATATCTGGGCCGACCAACTGGGGCGTCTAAAAGTACGGGCGGAAAATTCGGCTCGCGCTTTTCACCCCTCGGATTCGGTTAAACCGTCCCCGGGGAGGGAGGGACCCTCGGTGCGCATTTTACGACCAAGGAGCCCCGGAGATGCGATTCCACGGTGAATGGCACCCAGGGCGCCGCGTAATACGCGTGCTTTTCTCCCATTCACGGTAAACCACTTGGTTTACGCAATATACGTCGAAAAACCTCGAAAAATGGGAAATTACCCAACCCTGATGGCACCCCGAGAGGGCCCACGAGGGCATTTCATCGAATCGAGTCGGATTCCATTTAATACACCAAGGGCTCGTCATATCACGAAGGGAGAAACCTCCCCCACCATTACGATCCCCGAAACTCGTTAATTTCCTTCCTCTCTTTACCTCGATAATCATTTTTTCTTCCCATTTCTGGGGAGGACCTCGAATATCGTCCAAGGGTGGCGAGGTGAATTAAGACATTCACGCGTCCATAAAGTTTAATCCGAGGGCTCGGGCAAATTTACTTACACCGTTTACCTCCGCTTACACTATTTGCAGGTGGAAAATGTACTTACTCTAACTGCGCTCTGAGAGTCGGGCCAAGGTAAGCAGCACATGGAACAGAAATGAAAATGCATCAGTTAGTCGAGGGTTGGTAACGCGTGCCTTACAAAGACACGTGTTAAAGGAAACCCAGGGAAATCATTGTACAAGGGTAACGAGCGATTACGACTCGGGAACTTTGTGATGGTATTCGGCAATTAATCCAGGAAAAATGTTCGCAAGTACATGTGGAGCCTCGGTCTAAGGTTCACTTTACCTTCAATTCTGCACAGCGGAATTAATTAGGGGCGATTTAATGCATTTTTTATCCTAATTCCCTCCCGGCTAGTGTAATAAATTTGCATCCGTATATAGTCACTACGTAGCAATGCGATATATATTTTAATTACATCAACGGGTCGCGATTATTTACCTCGACACGTGTCAGGGCAACGGGGCGTTATCACGCCCCGTGAAATGCAATAACTCCTGTCAACGGGCGCACCTGTTATGCAGCTTTTTATCGAAAGAGATCACCGACACGTGTAACGCCCTGCGAGTACACCCCGCGTTATAAAACAATATGAAACCAGGACTAACGAGAGGATGTCGGTCGTACTGGAAACTCGGCTAAAAGGTTTTCAATGTCCGAGTTCTCTTTCGCTAAAATCCCGCTTTTTTTATTTTTTATCTGACCACCTTTTGTCACCCGCCCTCCTGGGGGCGACTTTCCAGTATTGGTACATGTACATACTTCCGTACACGTGTACAGAAGTAGGTACTTTCGTTAACGTGACGTGTAAGTGACGTCAAAGAGGTCTCATTACGAAACTTGTCTCCAAACGGAGTGCACTTTTTTTTTTTATTACAAATGAAATTTCTCTTCTGAAATTACTCCGAAATGCATCCGTGACGTCAATATATATATCGCAAACGTGCCGGCAATTGAATTTCCTCCCGGGTCATAATTACCGTATTTATAACACGTAACGCATGCACGTAAAGCGCAGGGCGCGCAATTAATGTGGAAAATAATAATTAGAGTGGATGATGCGCCGGCGCATTGTTGCAGGCGGTCGGAAAAGTGCATGCCCTAACGAGGGTTATGCAAGGGGAAGTGCCGCATATATATGCATAAATATCCACGTTTAATTTACCGCGAGGGATAATGAAGCAATCCCATAGTCCGTCCACGACAATGCGATGGGAATGGATCTTACTGGGTCATCGAGCTTTGTTCGCGGGGTGCAAACAAAACGAGGGATAATTATATCGGCGCGTGCACTTCTCGGTGCATCTCGGTGCATTCAAGACGGCGGGAAGTAAAAGGAGCCGCTCGAACACGGGATGGTTAGGAAATGAGATGGAAAAATTCGACGCCCTCGTCACGAAAGCGTTGAAAAAAAAAAAAAAAAGATTTCGGAATCAATCCGCGACGCGATGACGCATTTTTAGCAGCGATTGTTGCCAAAGCTTTATCGTAACGCTATCGGAAATAATCTGTTGTTCTTGATTAAATCGATAAAATCAGTGGGTTTTCCAGATTTTTTTCCGTAAATTTAACGGATTCTTTTTTTCTCCGTGTGAGGTTTATACGCGGAGAGGCCGCATGGCGTATTTTACTTTCCGGAAAGCTCGTCAGTGCCAACTCTTCCTCCGGAGGACTGCCATTCGTGTAATCACCAGGACACTATCCGCTTTAAACGCACCGACGTTCGTCAGGTTTAATCGTTCGGCGTGTCCACTCCGGGCTTTATTAATCTCCGGTTCGTCGTGAAAGCTTCAGCCTCGAGTTTGGGAAAACCGGACAATCCGAATTCGTCCGGGGCTCGGATTAAATCGAGATAAAACGAGCGGCCCGACTGCACTCGGCGAAACTGCACCGTCGGCCGCGTTTTATGTAATTCACATTGTTTGGCAATTTTTTTAACACCGTGGGGAGAGTCGGCGCAGAATACGCATTTTTCCCCGCGACCCGGGTAGAATCTTCTTCAATAATTTGTCATCCACGTGCCGTCAACGCGCCTCGCACAACTTTGACATCGCATCCCGACTCGGCGATGCGGAAACCCTGGATGCAGATCTTTATGCAAATCGGGCGAAACTTTTTTAATCAACCTGCCATCTTTCCCCGGCATTCCGGATTTCGCCGTGTCTGGAGCTGTCAATTTTTCGAAAGAGATTTCGCTCCAATGTGGAGTCTCGAAATCCGAAATACCGCTTTAACTGTGTCCAATTGGTCTAGCTGTTATTAGGGGAACAAAGTACCGACTACTACGAGGAGGGAGGAACGAGATGCGCGAGATTTCATTAAGATAGATTGTCTTAGTTAATGCACCGCTTTGCCTCCTCTCTGACTCGACCAGTGGAGACTGACACAGTTGGATTACCGACGAACGTTTACGGTATTAATTAACAGAGGATGAACTTCTCTCTACGTGTTCCCTGGACGTCAGTTGCGAGCTGAGAATTCGGACGGAAAGTCCTCGAGTGCTGTGACGAAAATTGAATAGTTTTGACAGAAAGGTTGCAAAGAATTTATTTCCTCGGCTAAACTAGAACTTTATCGATATCTCTCCCTTAGTCCGATCAGGGGAAACCGACGAAAATTTAAGGGACTGATTAAGAGGAGATCAACTTCCTAGGTTCCCCCTCGACATCGTCTGCGAGAAAGAATTCGGACAGATAAACGTGGATAGAGTGCCCTGGCGAAATTGAGTAATCTTCCGGGAAGGGTCCTAAAAATCGAGATCGTACTTTCTTCGGCTCCCAGATCCCGAAGGGAGCCTCGAATTCCGAAATTCCGCTTTAGCGCTTGTCCAATTGGCCTCTCAGCTGTTAGCGGGACGAAGTACCTTCAGCTATTCCGGAGGGAGGAACGAGACGCGAATCGAGATTTCATTAAGATTAACTGTCCGAACAAAGCACCGTTCCTCTCCTGACTCTCTAACTTACCCCCGGGTACTAACGCTAATAAATTACAGACTTGTGGATTGCGTTACCTCGCGATTAAGCTCAAGGGCTCTACTAACCGTAGCTGCCGTCATGCCGAGCAATCCCGCGTCTTTCGATCCTCGATACCCACGTTTCAGATTCCATATTTCATATTTCATAGAACCCGACATCCGAGCAAGGAACCGTGAAATTATCAGTCCATTCGGCTAAAATTCGGCGCGAAAGGTGCAATCGTTTGGTCCAGCTAATCCCTTTTTGCGTCCCAGAGGAGCCTTTGTTTCCGCCGGAGACATTTGCATGACAATTGGGAAAGAACTTCGGTTCTCCGTAGGTAAACCGGACGGGTACGTGAGGTCCATATTTCAGTAATTTCGTCAGGTGAATTTCGGCCACTTCCTCCCGGAGAATTCCCCGATTAGCTCGACGAATCCAGGAGGTCGTCTCCCCTAAGACCTTACGCGGGAATTATTAAAGTGTCACATATATGAATATGTTAAAATATAAAACTTTTATATTTTCATTAACACGCGATTGCGAAGATCCCAATGAAGGTCTTGATACTCCTGAAATTTCATTGGGAATTTCATCGCAGACGTTTTCAGAACGATTATGGCCGAATTCGAATGTTCTCGTTATTGATTTAGATTGAGATCTTCATTTTTAGAGAGGAGGAGATTTTGGGTCGTAATCGGAGAGGATTTCGGGAATTCCGGGTTTTAACGAACTAACGATGTGCGAACTTATTCGGGCTGAAAGCTACAAAAGCTTTTGCGATTCGCTAAGCATTCTGCCAGCCAAATCATCCGAGAGATGAACTCCGCATCCGCGAAAAAAAAAAAAAATACGGAGGCGAAATGTGCCAGCAAGACCATTCAAAATTAAAATTTTTTCATTCATATATACCGAGACGTCGAAATATTGATAAAATTCATAGATGACACTTTCGTGACATCTCAAGGATTAATTGAAAGAGTAAACGAGTTTCGTATCGATGTGCAGGACTGCAAGTGTTTATCGCCCGAGGGGTTGAAAGCTCTTAAAATTTTTTCATTCATATATACCGAGACGTCGAAATATTGATAAAATTCATAGATGACACTTTCGTGACATCTCAAGGATTAATTGAAAGAGTAAACGAGTTTCGTATCGATGGACAGGACTGCAAGCGTTTATCGCCCGTTCTCGGATTGGTCGTTCATCCGAATTTCATGGCCGATTCCAAAATGGCAACACCTTGGCCTTCCGCCACCCCGTAACGCGCTGCATCGACGTTTACTTCGGCCGATATTCAATAACCACGACTGACTTGGCACGAAACTGTAATAGAACGTAGCACATAGAGATGTGCCCGTAACCGGGGTAAATGCACACGTACCTTGGTACATACTCTCGCCAGCACGGCGTACTCGCCAAGGTAAATGTGTACGTATCCCGATCACGAGTCGGCTCGCATCTGCAAAAGGGCTGCTATCGATATCACTACCTACCCTCGATTTGCAGCTTCTCATAAAGGGCGAATAAGAATCTCCTCATAACCAGAGGTAGGCATTTCACGAGGAAACTATCTCTTCCGTAAAAATGTCGGAGGTGGGAATAATCATTTTCAAGGGAATATTTTTTTTATCTGAATTTCAACTACGCACCGCGACGGATAGAATGCAGATATCTACCGTGAGATTGATATCAATTGAAAAATAAAAAAGATAGGAACGATCGTTTTATAAGCATTTTTTAAGGACACTCCCCACCGATGTGCAGTGCCTTACGGGGACAAATATTTTCGATAAGTCCTCTTCGTGTAAAATAATTCAACAACGAAATTTCCAAGCACCTTCGACTGGGAAGGAATTGCTTTATACACATTTTCTTGAAAAATTCAAATTTCCTGAGAATCGCTTTTTTTTTTCAGAACATCAATGATCACGTGTTGAATTGTCAAATGATTCGGTGCACCCAGTTTCGGCGAAAAGTTTTGTATATACATGGTATGTCCTCATGAAACGTCTTTTCGCGATTTTCGGGGTCCTCGCTCATCCGAGCGAGAAAGTAAAAATTTAGTTTACCTCCCACCGAAATTCGATGCCATTGC